CGTGACGAAGCGTTGGTAGCGTTAAACGGTCGTAAGATCTCTGGGCATCAATTATCTCTAAATCATCATAAAGCACAGACGTTTTAGAGTAAAGAGGGTATAGCTTCGACAACGCATCTAAACCTCCGTAGGGCTTTATTAAACCTTATTAACTTGAAGGCGAACTAGTAGCTCGAAAAAGCAAGCGTGTCCTATATTCCGTACGTAAAATCTGTCTAATATAATACTAGAAAAATGCATTTGATTTCCTCTTTTTTCCCTTAACTAGAACTGATATCTGTATTTTATAGAATTATTTATATCTCAATATATGCATTTATATCTATATATCTGTATTTATACTGTATATATTTATCTATATATTTTTTTCTTTATATTCGATTCCATTTATTTCAATTGATATCTTAGAAGTAAGGATAATAGGTCTAGGCTGGATAGAATAAATTCTCTATTTAGGATTCCCATAAATTTGTTGCAATTTAAAGCAGTGGCATATATTTACATAATCTACATCACTTTCTACATTTTCCATATATTTCGCATATTTTTCCAATAAATCAATAGGAAACTTACGTGCAGCGTTTATCAAATACAGGTAAAACGTTGTGTGAGTAAATATGTACAAAATTTCACTTTTATGGAAAGTTTACCAAGTGATAGACTATAGTTTTATATCTTGACCATATACCAACCTCAATTTAGTAACAATTTGAATATTTTTAATTGATGGACCATCACCAGATGGTGCCACCCATTCAAAAACTTAATAGTTAAAACAGTATAGCACAAACCTAATAAGTAGTTTTTATGTCAACGAACACCGAACGCGATGACAAACATTGACTTTACGCATAATTTATTAGACGCTTATTAAACGATCGAAATTTATATATATATATACATATATATATATATATATGTATATATATATATATATATATTAATACACGCACATATAAATTTATATATATATACAGTATATATATATACAGTATATATATATACAGTATATGTCTATATTAATACAAGATTCTTTATATGCTGTTTATATTAATATACTTGTCTTCTAAAAATATGATGCTTGTGTGAGGAGATGCACGACGTACGTACGATTGTTGCCTAATTCCACTAATTACTGAAGCGTCGTTTTGCGTTAGATGTCGAGGACAGTCTCTAATCACAGTCGAACGCGTTTGTCAGTCTTTGTTCTGAACTTAGCTTTATCTGTTTTTATGTAAAGGACGCCATAAATTCTGGCCGCGAGTCTGTCTATTGATTAGTGGAATATTAGCTTGATTAGCCAGAGACAAACTGCGCGGTTCCCTTTCTGTTTGTCAAGTTCAGAATATAGATAGTCTCTATAAAGCTGGTTGCGTTGTTTGCTCTGCACGGTCAATATGAGTTGTTTTTCATGTTTCTAGGTGTATAGGCCTAATCTTTTAGAATTTATAACTAAATATCGAAGAGTTATAAGCTACCTCTTCTTTTCCTTTTCTTTCCCTTTTTAGTGTTTTATTATAGTAATAAGGGACATATTGTTTTTTCATTGTGTCTCCATTGTCTCATTATTACCGATTATGAGTCGAAAGTAATTTCTAATTCATTCAAGCTATTGTTGGCCTTTCACAAGTTGTGAGAAAATCATAGATTCAAAAAGCTCAGCGTATAGAATTAGATAATGTAAAAATCATCTAAATACCAGTCAATTTTTTCAACTATAATCCCTTTCGTAAAAAACCTAATTAAAGTTTGTCAAGGGTCAATAAGCGCTTTGTTCTTCGTTTTTCCTGCGTAGACAGCTAAGGGTAAATATACGTTGTCTCGCAGACTGCTACTTACGATGCCATAAAGAGAAAAACCAATACATAGCATCCTTTGTTATATAAATAAAGTTCAAAGAGGGTTAAGCTGCCGAATATAGTCTTTGTATTTTAGCGTTAACGCATCCGTGTTCTTTCTTTGTTTCTCTGTCACTTTCAATTTTTCTCTTTTTCCAATTAATTGCACTATGTCAGCTTATTTAAAAAAAGGAAAATCAAATATTTCTAAAAATAGACTGATAAAACGATGTATATAGTGAAATAGCGCACAGATTTCTAGAAAACTTATATAACTGCATAAACCATATGATAAATGTTATATTACATTATATATCTCGTTTTTTGTTTCTTTGTCAAAAGGGAGATTAAGTTGTAACCGAAATAGGACTTTGTCATAAACTGGATATGAGTGACCTACAATGAAAGTGTTTATGCCTTCTAGGCTTATTATTTCATTCTGAAAATTGTAATAAGCAAAGCCGTACTGAGGGGACGTAATTATCAAGAAAAGAAATTCTTCATTGCCCGAGAGAAATTATACTTTCTTTTGTTTGTCAAAGAAGGGTCTGTGTCTCCAAGTACAAAACGTAATTATCAATATACTTTTTCTCTACTGTATATCATAATAAGACTGTAATTGAGATATCAAATTGCTTTTTCATAGCTGATGTTAAAATCAACATTTTTCTTAAACGATTCGATATAACTAGAAGAGTTCATAAGGGAGAAGGGAGTAAAGTAGACAATCAATATCAGACCTAGAATGTAAGTGATAGGTTGACTGTGGCTCAGATGAGAATCTGATACAAGAAATGATTTACAATTTCAATTTTCACCACGTAAATGAATCTCTAGATATGAGCTTAAATTTCCAAGAAACCGCATATAAAATACAGGCCTGAGGAATTTTTTTTGTTTTATTCATGCAAGTATTTCGTTGGTGGCTCTATGAAACAGATTCTGTTTGTTCCGCAAGAACAATTATCAGATATATGTCATGACTCATCTTTTGTTTGTCACGAGCTATATAGGGAATACGAGCAACACCTAACATATTGTTTGTTCCGTTTCAGGGGGAGTGAAAAGCGTTATAGGCCTATTAAGGGACAGTTCGATATCGAGTTTCTTTTTTGCGGTAAATATTGAACTGTATTGAACAAACACGACAAACTAACTCGTATAAAAAATATACTGACTAGTAACAGCGTTTTTGGCCATTTAGAAAGATAAAATACATTTCTTCAAAATAAACAACAAAACACAGTGTATAGGCTGTGTCAAAAAAGTTTGTCAATTATTTTGATAATGAAAAATGAATTTCGAATATTGTTTGCAAAAGTTTTTTTTTGTTTTGTTTTATCCTGCAGCAAATCGTCTAGTAGAAATAAAAAGCACTACATTGAATTATTGTAGTTTTGTACTACAGCATTATGAAAGCACCAATGTTTATAAATAAAAATCGACTACATCTAGGCCTGTAAATTGTGGAGACATAAGAAGAAGTTTGTCAAAAAGATTCTAAAAATAAAACAGATCTACGTAAATGACGCTACTGACCCAAAATTCAGATGACAAGGCTAATGGAAACATATTAAATAGTTTAAGTGGTTTAAACCATGTCATTCGAATTGTAATCAGCTAATTTTTTGGTTAATTGGAAAAGTTGTTTGTCATGACAACAGTGTTACGAGTTACATTGCTTTTTATGAGCTCTAATTTGGTCTTTTGTTTATAAATGCCAGTCCTGGTGAGAGCAAAGCTGTTTTGATAAGATAGATAAAAGTTAGATAAATGAAAAAAATCAATATACGATAGAAAAGTCACGTGACCACCCCACCACCACCATAGACTGACATTAGGAAGCCAAGACAACGATTGATCTGCACACCGAATAAAATCTAACGTCTTTAAAAATATTTTTATTTCTTACTTTCTCATATAATATACATTTAATACATGTATGATAGATGATATGCTAAAATGATATATATGTATATATTTGTATATATATATATAGGTATGCATATATACATGCAAAAAAAGGAAAAAAAACTAGAAATATATTAAAATACAATACGAGTTTTAAAACATTATGCACGTTTTTTTGATTTAGTCCTTGACGATTTGCGTTTTTAATAATAAAAATATTATAAGAATAATCTAGATATGCAAAATAAGATACGTTTTGATTGACAATCGAGACTAGAATTTTTGAAATAATAAAGAAATATTCGCTACGAAACTGACACATTTTTTATGATTTTTCCTCATATGTTTAATCTATATATATATATATATATATATATATTTTCCCTCTATCGCAGCGATCAAGACTTTTCCTCTTTTTTTTAATAAAAGATTAATAAATTAAAAAAAAAATGACTAGACGCGAAGAAAAATGCGCTTATCCTTTGTCTTTTTCAGTATATACAGGCTATATACATTTAAAATTTTAATACGTATCTTTATATATAAATTTATATAAAGATAAATATATATATATGCAATATATATATATATATTTATATAAATCAACAAGCAAAAAAAAGAAGGGATAACTCTGTCGCCACTTTTGTTGTTTTGTTTTTAAAAGTCCCCAAAAGTAAAAAAATAATTCCTTTTCTAGTATTTTTACATAATAACAGCGTCAGCTCCGAAACGAAAAATGTAACAGTTGAGCACGGAATTAGTAGAGAGGGACTCTTCCCAATTAGTTTTTTCAAGGGTCAATCCGAAGGCACGCCGATTTAAAAAAAAATTGTCTTTTTTGTTTTCATCCCATCTTCTTTTTTACATGAAAATAGGGATAAAGCAATCTGTTGAAGTTTACGTATACATATATATATATATAAATATATATAAATACGCAAATGAATAAATAAATACGTATACAAATATATAAATATATTTATATATATAAATATATAAAAAGTATATATATATATATATACATATATATATTTAGATATTTATATAAATATATAGTAATATAGTAACGGAACAACATTGCCTTTCGGTTTCACCCAAAAACAAAACAATAGTCACAACACAATTTGGTCAATTGTTATTAATAATTTTTTTAGGATTGAACGATTATTTTCACAGTCTGCATTTGTTCGTCGCGTACAACATCAAAGAGAGTGAAGAGTCCTAGGAAATACTTTTGTTTTTTTTTTTTTCAAAAAAAAAAAAAAAGAAAAAAACTGAACACTGTACAAATCTAGCTCAACAATCAACAAAAAAAAGTAAAAAAAAAAGAGACTGGCAAAATTTCAGAACACGCTTAGTTTAAAAATAAAAGGAATGTAGTTTTATGTTTTTTGTAATTGATTTTTTTTTTGGCGTGGTCCAGCGACAGAATGACCTACAGTGACCTAACTCTACTAAAAATTTTTTTAGGCTGTGACCTTTTGAGATTCTTGACGACACATTGTAGCACAACAGAAAAGCTTACATTTTGTTTAGACACGAGATGGAGTAGCCTGTAGAGGGGGCTTGTGCTCTGCCGAAATAAAAAAAATAAGTTTAGTTAAGTAATTTTGGAAATCTTGAAAGATTTTTTTTTTTTGTGGATTTAATCGCCATTTTTTTCCCTTAAACAATACCTAGTCAAAATGGACACTGGGGGGGAATAACTATCAATACGACGCATGCGCATTAAGAATACATTATATTACTTCTGAACTAGAAATCCATCCCTTAAAAAACAGCTGTGATTTCCCTTAAATTCAATTTTCATACAATATATCCCTATTGATATATATGTATATATTTATAGACTAATACAGTATATAAAAGTATAATATATTAAAGAAACTTTATTTAACAGCTTGTTTCTTCTTTCAGCATATGGATATGCATATGAAGAGAGAAAGGGTTTTCTAAAAGAGAAAAATCCCTCGACTTCCAATAATCAATTAATATAAAAAAAAAATCTAGACGTAATTCCTTTCGTCACTAGTCCCATAATTATTATCATCAATATCAAATAGCAACATAAATCCGTCTACCATCAAATTAAAAATAATTATTCATTTAAATATTTTGATTTAGCTATTGATATTTATGAATTGAGGAGATTTAAAACAAATTTACTAATAGATACATATACATAATATACATTTATATAAGTATAAAATTATCAATTTTTTTTCATACTCTTTATAAGAAATATGGAATTTTTACTTGTCACAGCATCAATTAGCAACAAGTACCAACATATTTTAATGATTAACAAATGTTAACGGTTTTTTTATTGCTATAAAATCTCTTAGCAATATGCAAGAGAAGGCTTTCAAGCGTATATATAAATTATATATAACTTAATTATTATTTCTTTATTTTCAAACCAGTTAATAATAGAGGAACAATGGCAACCTGTCAAGTTCTACGTAATACTAGAAAAAAAAAAGGACGAGTATTAAACTGGTAATTCACGTGTTGCATTTAACTCGTGGAAAAGATATTTTTTCTTTAAAAAAAAGAGTAAAGTAGCAGTCGTGTTTTATCCTTTTAGTAGAGGCATAAAAGGAAATGTATAAAAGGAGAAAAGCCAGAAAATTTGGCCTATAATACTGCGGTCCTGTTCTTTTTAAGTTAACTTGCTTACCGAACTAAAGAGGGTTGTACCATTAGCGGAATATTTTGTCAGCTCTGCCACTTTTTCTGTTATAATCTTAGTATTCAATTATAATTATTAACTTGCTATGGGTTATATTTTAATTTATCACACTTGGGATTTAATTCAGGATAAGGTTACAAAATCTGCTTGATATTTAAAGAGCGATTCTTTTGAAGACCTTTTAATAATAGATGAAGCCGTTAAAACGTGTTCAGAATCCATCCCCCGGGCTTTGTAATCTAAGGGTTAGGCTTTCCGTCTTAACGATTTTAGCCGTCTTAAGATATATAGTTCAAAATTTTGCAATCCACTAGATTAGGTTCCCCAAAGGCGATTAAAACACTAAAAAAAGTGAAAAAAGCTTACCAATATTATGTCGTAATCAAATGAAGATAAGAAAATGAGATAGGCGTCTTTAATAGGGACGATTAGCGTCCTTAGGCCTCTTCAACTGCACCTTAAGTCTTTTCATTCCGATCTGAAATCCGTTCATTGCCTGTATAGCCGCTTGAGCGCTAGCAGGATTATCGAAGCTAACGAATCCAAAACATTTCGACTGATTCGTAGCTCTATCCACATAGACTTTAGCCGAAATAACAGTACCAAATGGCATAAACATCTGAGCTAATTCAGCGTCTCCAAATTCTTGAGGTAAATGATAAATAAATAGATTACAACCATCCGGACCAGTTAGAACAACTTCCTTTTGGGCATTTGGTAGAACAGTACCCAATGCCTGCAGCTGACCGTATGCCAAGGCTGCCGCACTAATGGGATAAGCGGCGGGGACGCTTTGTATGGTGTAAGCCTGTTGTAGGGCATCCAATTGTGTAACAGCTCCGTTATAGATGTCTTGGCCTTGGGCAACTGGTAGTGCCGCGACAGTGGGCGACAACATTGTCGGTGCAGCCCCATTAACTGTGGCCGAGGTTGTTGGTGTAGTGGCGGCTGTTAAGCCGTTTGGCGCTGTGGCAGCTAAAGGATGAGATGCGGCTAAGACGGCTGGGTTGGTAAGGTAAGTTCCTTGAGCAGCCGCCATTAAAGCCGCCTGTTGTTGTATCAAAGGCGAACCAGTAGAATAACAGTAGGCCGAAGTTAAAGGCAAACTCAATGGCGAAAGCAGACCTATCGGATTAAGAAAAAAGAACTACTTATAAAAGAGAGACTGATAACAATTTGTTTAAAAAAAAAAAACACTGACTACACCAGTACGTTACTGCAATCAAATTTTTTTCTCACATTTCTATAATATCGAAAAGGTGAATTAAATATAACTTTTTTTTTGTAGGATTACGTAGATATTAAAAATTATATAACTAAGCAATCTTTGATACTGATGGACTTTCGTATCGCGTTAACAAATTAAGTAACTACACAGAATAGGCCTAGTTATTCTATATTTTAGAATTATTTTAACGCGTTAGAAAAATAATAATTATTATGTTAACAAAAAGTTCATTGATTTTATAAAGTTTTATGAATAAAATTTTTTAATCTGGCGGACGAAATTGTCAGTCTAATAGTAATAAATTGGTTTGTTTTAAATTTTTGAAAAATAAATTCGTTTTAACCCCTACCTAGTGGTCCAGCCGTCATCTGCTGCATGCGTCTAATTTGGCGTTCTTTCTCCGTATCGGCTAGTTTTACTACTAAGCTGCTAGAGGCTCCCGGCATCGTCTGACTTCCATGAAGAGCATTTATAGCAGCTTGGGCCTCCGACGCTCCCCCGAATTTTACGAAGGCGCAACCTGACCGATACAAAGGAAAAATAACGGAGGAAAAGGGAAGGAAAAAAAAAAAAAGAAAATCGATAGCGTCTTTATCGATCCGCAACGCCACCTAGGCGTCTAATTAATTATTCACCTTTACTATTTCCGTTCTGATCCCTCAAAATCGTACACTCTTCAATCGAGCCGAATGGCTGGAACAATTGGCGCACATCTTCTTCAGTTTGTTGCTTATTGAGCATGCCGACGAACAATTTTCGGTCCTCTGTTCCATTGATCGAACAAAGAAAAGCAAGTTATTAAGGGACATCTGTCATCGCCAATATTATACTAAAGTGTAACACTCTAGGCCCCAAAAGGTTGGGTTAATATGCGGTACAATAGCAGTAGTCTTGTTCAGTAGGCCTTTGAAATTTGGCGACCGGCGTCAAAACAGATGTTGAGCATTTTCAATATGGCCGACTGATTAATATTGAAGATAAGCGTTACCTGCTCCGTGCACCATTGTTTAAGGCGTCGAAAATGTGAACAAAAGGAGGAACTTCCGGTGAGAGACGACGACGACGAAAGAAAGAATACGAGACAACACCGACGGTTCTACGACTAACTGCCTGCTAGATCGCCGTTATCCCGCTCTTATGCATATTTATGACCTGTCACATGACTAAATCTAGCCAATCCTAGTGCTAAATTTTCGCGCCGTCGGTACGAAAGGGTCATCGATTATCGGCGACAAAGAAAGACACAAGAAACAGCAAAAAAAAATACGTATAAAATGAACTCACTGACATCTTACTCTTAACGAGTCAGTTCGTTAACGACACATTATAATGTCTTACCTGCTCTACTCTCCGAATCGGCTGGCTTAACTTGAATGGGACGGTTCATCTGAAAAAAATGAGAAAAAAATTTAGACGCTTCCGGTTCCGGTTATTGGTAGAAAGCCTTACTCTATCGATCCGCGGATCAGCGCTATGCACGATCATAATGATTAATAGACGTCTAAAAACACGCTATGCCGAGTGAACGCCGCCGATTCTCGTGTAAAAATGGCGTCGAAACGACGGCTAGGGGCGCATCGCTCAGTCAAGACAGCTTTTTTCAGCCTACTTTTTCATATGCAGGTATACATATGGGCGTACTCAGCTGGACAGAAACGCCGTTTTCCCCGAGAGAGTTTTGTAGTAAGAACTTTAGATATTGTGGCGCCTCCAGTAATACATTTAACATTTAGTCAAAAAAAAAAATCCTCTTGCCAGAGAAGAAAAAAATATCAACCATAATATACAAATATATATAGTGTATATATATATATAAATACTCATTTAAAACGTATGCAATATTTTTGGCAAATACTTACAAACTGTATAAAAATACCAGATGTCTAGAATATACAAAAGGTAAAGGGATACGTACTGTATACGTAGAGACACATTTATATCTTTAATATATATATAATGTATGTCATTTTAAAATCATAAGATATAAATGAAATATATTAGAATTCTATAAATAATTAAAAAAAAAGAAAATCTTCCATCAATTTTAAAGTACCCACATCTAAACCATCAATAAACTTTTAAAAAAAGAAAAATTATGACAGGTAATTTTTTTAAGTATAAATTTTTACCTGCAGTTTTTTAATTACCTTATTCTAATAAGATATTTTATTAATAGTTACAAGTTATAGGGCAAGAATTGCCCACAATATGCTACTGTATGTATTGTATATACATTTTACTAAACAGTATTTTTGACGAATTTAAATGTACTTAAACTTTAAATAGATGTGTAACTCGAGAAACAAATAAGTAAATACTTTAGAATGAGGGTGAGAGAGAAAGAGAGAAAGAGAGAAAGAATATTGTGAATATTTATCGAAATATCTCCTGTATAAAGTGTTTAAAAGATATACTATAGAATTTTATATAAAAATTCTAAATTAATATTTTATCAATTCTTGTTTGTCTTCTTTACAATATTTCTCTAGTAAACTGGGAATGAAATTAACATTTTCTGTTATTTCTTTATGATTTTTATAAATTTATTCTTAAAATTAATATTACTACTATGGGGATGAAGAAGATGTTTTCTTTAAATCTCTTATTAATTTATTACATTAGAAATCAAACATAACAAAGAGAATTGCAAGAATCAATTGTCAGAAGCACCTATTGCTATCCTATATATTTGTTGTACTATACACCACTCAATTCTAAAACAAAAGAACACATAGATCGGCAGCTCAAGAACCTTTTTCATCGACTGCTACCTCTTTTACGACTCCAATTCAATATTCTTTTGGAAAGTCGTAGTTAATTTGAGCGGAAAATTATGTGACATAGTTTGTTTACAAAATTGCATCTGCATGACGTAACAGTAAAATAATGAATGCTTTTCCCCTTTTTCTTATTTTTTATTTTCTTTTTCTCTATCTTTTTTCCTGCTTACCACCCCTCCCACCTTCGCCTTTGCCCCCCATCCCAATCTGCTCCTTCCCCCCGCCCTCTTTCTTTCTTTCTTTCCTTTCCTTTCCTTTCCTTTACTTTCTCTCTTTCTCTCTCTCTCTCGCTCTCTTTATGTATTATTTTTTCTTAGTAACTGTTTGCCACCTAAAATTTCCTTCAGAAAATGAGGCTATACAATAATGTTTGCTTTCGTAATTTGTAAACAAATACAATGTAACATTTTTTTAATTTAACCCTAAATAAGATAAAGTATAAGTCTCTAATTCCGATGACATTTTTCTCTCATTTCAGCGCCGAGTATCAACAAAGGTCTCAATTAACAGAAATATACGGAATAACTATTAAAAATGTTTACATTTTGCAAACTTATATTCTTAGTCTTGTATAAATTTACATTTCCATATGATCTCCCTTTTTTTCCAGCTTATTTTTTCTTTTCTTTTTTTTATCACGATGTGGAGGGCTCTACTCCTAATCCTTATGACATTTTCCTCATAGATTTTGATTAATTATATGTGGGCGGTCCATGTATTCTTTTGTCAGAGGGTCAATAACATCCATTAGCGGATTTTTGCTCTCTCTACGCTTTCTCACGACTCGTCACCTCTTGTTTATTATAAGTATTCGTCGTGTTTGCTTTTTTTTCTAAATCTTATCTCTACCATTAATATTTTTTTTAATCTTTGCATTAGTTAAGACAGGGAAATGAAAGCTAATTCTTAGGTACCGGTGTTTTTAGGAAGAGCACATCTGCTTATCTAGGATATGAGTATTTCTCCTTTAAAGATGGAGTAATTAGCCTACGAAAAACATGAGACCTAGTAATTAAAAAAATGCTATATCGTTTGACAACATTTTGAACGATTGTCTTTTCACGCAGACGATTCGCTAAGGAAAATTAATAAAGATTGTGACATATTTATCGGCTACGTAACCCATGAGAGACGACTATATCGGCCTATTGATTATCGATCACGAAGGAAAAAATGTGTTACTATAGATACGTAATAAAGATGGCGCTTAAAAAAAAAACAATAGCACTTTACTAGGGAAAATGTCGAAGAGAGGCTTATTGTCGACGCCCTATTCGTTTGTCGTCATGGCGACGCCTCTTTTACGCGGCAACAAGTGACGTTATCGATTATTCCGAAATCACGGTCGACGCCTCTTTTCACTTATAAAACGAGTCCACGCGCATTTTTATCTCAACGCTTTTTTTTATATAAGGACGACGCTTCCCAACAAAAAAATCGAACGACAAACGCTTCAGCGAAATCGATAGATGCCTTGTGTAAACAATTTTTAGGCGACGGTGATCGGTCGCTAGGGGGCATTTGGTTGGCGTTGTTTTCAATGTTTTTCTCGATAGTAAAAATTTGTCACATTAATCCACACTATCGCCATCTAGTGATCGAATTAAAGCCCAGGGCAAATTGTATGACTTTTATATTTTTCTATCAATTTATACTTTATTGAAAGAATACATGCGACCGTAAATTATTTAGTAGAATGTATTATAAAGGTATTCTGGAAACGCAATTATACGATAATTCATAATGGATATCTTTAGCGATTAAATAAACGTTTACAATTATTACTGTTAAATAGACAGAGAATACTTACTTGAATAAACTGAATAATGAATCAATTTAGAATAAGATAATAGTAAACAAAGTAGTACACAAATTTTCTTTTATATCACTAATACCAATCTTGGTGTCTACTTGCTTTAAAGACAAAGTAAAACTTTTGAGTCTCTGGTAGCCGGGATTGTCTAAAAATACTTGTAGCGTCTCCTCTTCCACTACAACGCCGCCGTATTACTAGTCTACAGATTATTGCGTAAGGTAATATATTGCATTTACGTACCTACTTTCACAAAATACATCAATTAGTCAATGTAATTAATTCTAAGATCTCGCAGACATTAACAGTATATAGAGAAAAAGATAAGAGTAAATTCCTTATATGACTAGATTATACGCTAAAGACAAAAGTAATACGTAAAGTGTAGAGTGTATACTATTTCTTCAAACACTTTTCAATCCCTATTTTCATAGGTAAAGCATATGCCAAAGATTAATCTGGCGTAAAATATCTTACTTTATACTACTTATGCTTTGTTTGTTTGTTTCTATTTTTAAAGGATTTTACTGGAGAATTTTTCGTTTTACTTGGAAAAATGTAACAAAAAGGAAAAAAAGTTATATTCGAATTTGTTATTATCTAAATTACTGAGAGAAAACACACGAATTAGAATTATACAGTATTAGAGCAACTATTAAAGTTACACCTTAATTACAAGTAAATGGACTCTTGGCCAATTTTCTCAAAACCAATTATTTCTTTAGAGAAACCACAGCTAGTTTCTCTCTTTAATCTTGAAAGAAGAGTGATAACAAAATCATCTTAATCTATTTGAGACTTTATTCAATTAATTAAACTTGATATTTATTGTTAAAACTTCTATTAAGTCTATTGTAAAGAATAATAAATATAAATAAGAATTTATATATGAATTCCTAAAAATATAAAACCAATAATTGGAATTTAATCCATACTGTTTAAATCTGTAAACTATTTAATCTAAACAAGATTATATATATATATATATATATTTATACATGTTCGGTTATTATTTAATTTTCAAAGTGTATATATAAGCATATAGTATATAAAAGTATATATACAAATGTATTCAGGCTTATTTGTATACGGTATATAGACATCATGCTTAAGCTATATTTTCTCGTTTTACAATAATTATATATACCTTTAATTACTAAAACACAGACAAATTTTTAATTATGTATTCCCTGAATTTATACTCTTTTTTATCTTTCGCAGTATTTATTTACAAATAGGACCTAAATACTAAATATATATATATATATATATATATATACTATTCTTTAATCCTTTTCATCCTCTATTTATCCCTATACAAAAGCTCATAATTCTTGTGCACAATGATTTTGTTGCAGCTTACTTTATGTAAAAATATATATATACAGTATACAATATTATATCTATCTAAATATTATTATAAATATACTATGTATACATGCATTTCATTTAATTTTATACATGGCTCTTCTCTATTATATACATATCGGTATCTTTTATTTTTGCTATTTTAAATCGATTATATAAACTCTATTAACCGTATCTTTAAATATTTACAAACATATTACATCTCAGAAAAATGTAAGAAGCTACACTTAATCGTTCTTCAAAGCTTACAAGCACTTCTCCATTGACAAACTATAGAGTTAACTCGAAAAAAACGACATAAAAAAGCTATCAGATTTCACAAGCATCTCCATGGAAACGGAAGCACTATTACAAGTTTGAGCATGAAAGTCGACGCACCTGTAATATTTTGTCGGCTGAAGGATGCCTCGTTGTCATAGAAACGTATTGGAAAAGGAAATCTCTTCCCCCTCTCTCTCTGGCTGTCTCTCTTTCTGTCGTTCTGTGTGTCTGTCTTCCTCTCTCTCTCTCGGTCTCTCTCTCTCTCTCTCTCTCTCTCTCTCTCTCTCTCTCTCTCTCTCTCTCTCTCTCTGCCTCTCGCACTCTCTCTCTTTTTGTCTTTCTCATTCTTATTCTCTTTCTCTTCTCGTCCTCTTTTTTTTTCTCTAAAGCCTGTCTTTAGGTCTCTTTAACACTTATCTTTTCACCTTCGCTTTTTTTTTTCTTGTTTTTAAGTATAATTATATATTTCTAGTAAAAAGCATTGGGATAAAATCTTATGACAAGTCAATTTATTAAGAGCGTTTCCAATAACTCGTAGATGTTTGTAACGGTAGATAATTGCATCTTTTTGGGTGTTGTACATGATTTCTATGGTAACGGTTCTGTGCTCCGGGCATTGTTGGGTGAGGCGACAGTAATTAGTAGTAGCATTTTTTCTACACCTGGTACAAGAAGAGCCTTTTTAACAGCAACAATGTGCACAAACTAACTGTATTTTCATCTCATATTTTAATACGCTGTACATTACGTATATTAGTGGATGTTATCCGAGGAGAAAATCGTGTTGTGACTTTGCATGCTATCGCGTGTGAAATTAAAATCTGTGCTCTTTGTCTTTATAGTTCAAGTTAGGGTCATGAAACTGTATTTTCTCCATATTTCATATTGAAATCTCCCATTTTTTACGAGCTGCTTTATTTTCTTTTTCTAGCATATTTTACGTTTAGATATTTTACTAAGAGTTTCATAACCAATTTTCTCAGAATAAATTTATTGGAAAAATATTAGATAGACCATTATAACGGAGTATAAAGCTGCAATTCACAATCTGTACGGATCGGTGAATAATCTATAATAATACTCTTTAGCATGAAGCCTTCCTAATATTTGATATAAGAACTCATAAAGTCCAAAACCTTAAAATTACATCAATAATAGTGGAGTACTACTCTAATGCTTTACAATAGACAAATAAAATATACAATGTATCTTTATATAATTTTTAAGTTACATAATAAAGATCATTAGAGTATGTATGAAGTAAACAAGGTATTATAATGTTTAATTCAACTCAACGCTGTTAATGTAAACATACTATATGGGTAACTAAATATATGTTTACATGTGCACTTGTTGAGTGGGAAAATGAGGGATAGGAAGAGAAATGAGGAAAATAAATAAAGAGAGAAAGAGAAAGAGACGGAAAAAGCGAAAGGGAGACTGATAGAGAGAAAGAGGGAGGGAGGTAGGTAGGAAGGGAGAGAGAGAGAAAGAGAGAGAAAGAGAGAGAGAGAGAGAGAGAGAGAGAGAGAGAGAGAGAGAGAGAGAGAGAGAGAGAGAGGAGGGGGAAGCAGAATGGGTAGGAAGGGAAGAGGAAAGAAACAGAATAGGTATAATAAAATCTATTTAAACGATACTCTATAACCTTCTCAGTCCGCAATTATAAATTCACTGTTTAAACGTAAGAAGTAAACTTAAAACGATTGATTGTAATTATATTTTATATATTGGATGTACTTTGACAAAGCGCACCTGGAAAAGTAAAATGACAATGTAACATAATTCCCAATACACAATGTCTGAGGTAAGGACCATGAATGGATTTTACACCTGGTATGTGTAAAACATACTCTTTCTTTTCCTTTGAATGTTTGTAAATAATACTATATTCCAACAATAATTATAACTTTCAATACATTATGTGCAAAACAACGAAAATATAAGAGTACACTTCGTAAGTCAGCTGCACTAAGTTCTTATTAACCTTTTCAGTAAAAAAAAACCCCACAACGTATTCGTATATATAAAATTTCTCTTATCAAAGGTTTCAAACAATTTGTTTGTCCAAGAATACAATCGGCTTAAAACGGGGATTAAATGGTACAGATAGTTTTTTTTATAAGAGGCTTTTAAATTGATTTAAAACAAAAAAAAAACTTCCTTTCTTACTTAAGAATTTTTATATAAATTTGAAGAAACCTGCTTCGTAAAAACAAATAGAAGCATTGGCCAGCTTTGTATCATTTTTACTGTATACATTAATCCCTAAAAATACATTACAGAAAATATAAATACTTTATTAGATAGTTTATCCTTTCGTTCTTTTTTTTTGACTTGGTATATCTTGATTGAAGTTGGATATTTTTGAAAAACAAATCCTGCTGAATTAAAGGGTTAAAGCCTCTTTGTTAATACGCTTTCTTTGTGAAAATACATGTTGTATTTTCTAATTATCATGTCTGTAACTTTATAAATTTGCTATTGAATGGAAGACACATTGTTCAGTTAATATAAAAATACGCTACATAATATAAAAGCATGTATATATTACCACAATTTAAGTGAAGAAAAATGGATCAATAGTTAAAAAGTACGGATCAAACTCTACATACTATCCTTTTAAGTTGCATGATATCTTTTACATGATTAAGGGGGATAGCCACGAACACTGACATAAATCAGAAAGATATACTGTTGTTAATAATAGCTGTTAAATAATGTCAATGAATTTATTGACTTTTATTTGTTACTCTGAAGTACTTTTCTTACTGTTCCATGACAAGCATCTCTTAATCTAAAATTCTAATCATAGTTAGCCGGCTAATTAATGTAATTGTAACTGTTTAGTAGTATTGGATGAACAAAAGCGAAAGATAATACTTCACATACTAAACACAATGGACTCAGAACTGCTTCTCTTGGCTTATATGACCCGTATAGTTTCTTCTTATATAGATGCATACTGTAATCAATATATATATTAGTATATACAGTATGCAAATGCTCATAAACGTAAATGCGAATAGATGGTAAAGTTTTGACATATAGTACTATTAATTGGTCGGGTTTTTCTTGCTCCGGTAATTAATTTAACGGCTCTTTGAACATAATTTTATAACCGGCGGCGTCTCTGTGGCTTGAAGATATCTCATATCGTTTGTAAAGATTTACTAAATAGGAGGTTTATAGGATAAAAATTTCCCTCCTTCCTCTCCCTCAAGAGTAACTGGCGTTTAATATACGAAGAATTAATTAATGTAAGTCAGCCAATTACTATAATTACTATGGAAGCACATCGTTTAGAATCTTACACGTGAGGAGAACGTGTAGTGCCACACCCTCTTTCTATATTATAAAAACATACATAAGGGCGTCTCTTACCCCCGGCAAAGTTTTTTGTTCGTGTAAGGCGTTTTGCGCTTTCAGAGCACTTTCTTTTGAGCAATACGTTAAAAAGGCACATCCTGTAAAGTAAATAAGGATACAACCAAAAAAAATAAACAATTCCTTAAGACATACAGTAGAAAAATCGATTTATACCTTTATGAATACCAGTGTACTTATCCTTCAGAATCGTCAACTCGTAAATTTGCCCAAATTCTTCAAAAACTGGTCGTAAATCCTTCTCCTCTAAGCTTCTAGGAATCTGACCAACGAACAATTTTATAGCGTCTTGATCTTTCATTCTCCTCTTCGTGAGTTTGTCTGACGTTCCACGCCCTTCTTTTTCCAAACGAGATGCGCACGCGCATGTATTAAAACTAAAATAGGCCTATTTACAGTTTGTATTTGTTTATAAAAGATGAATGTTAAAACACGCCTTAAGCTACATATAATTTAAAGGGTTAACTTGCTTTTTGGAGTCGGTTAATTGTTTCATGACGGAGAGAGGAGAGAGTGCGACTTATAAGTAATTTTTCGCGTGATTAATAAGTAAATAAGCAAGTTTACGTGCTTATAATAAATGTTTAATTAAGCAGAAAGAAGATAAAGATGAAAAAAATTCAATATTGAATTTTTACATTCGCACCAAAAAGAATATTTTACAGCTATTATATTAATAGATCTTTACGTACGCGTTTAGGTAGAGCACATACACTTGTATGCAATGTGTAAAACACGGTGTTTACTCTCCAGTTCCCACCGGTTGTTCGCTCTGTTATACAGTTATTTTTCTCTTTCGCATTTAAATGCTTTATGTGCACATCTAAATGTATTTTTACAATAGAAATTATAAATTCTTGTTTTATTGTTTATATATTATATATAAAGAAAGCAAACTTTTAATATTATTCAATTTTCAATCTACAATGTCAATTTATTTCATCTTTTAAATGCAAATCATATGTCTATAAAAAGTGTAATTTACTTGTGCATCATTATATCTTTTTAAAAGAGATATAAGATGGTGAATTCTATAGAAAAATTGGTAGAGCTTTTTCTTCTTCTTTTCCTCCTTGACAAACATTGCTGTTTGTGTTTTTTAGATTTATATGTGTACATTATATTTAGTTTATACAGTATATATATTATATACCGATATATGCATATATATAATTATATACAGTATATGTATATGCACATTCTATCCAAATACGAATGTACACGTGCTTGTGTACATAATACAATATAGACATTATTTTAGACACAATACATAGAGCTATATTTGTTTTTGTATACTTTTTCACGTTTTCCAGGCAGCGAATTACAAAGAAGTAAAGAGACGCGGTAATTGTTAGATTTTAGCAAATTAGTCTGCCATATAAATGTATACATAGAAAGTAAACATTTCAGATGCGAATGTGTTTTTTTATAGACTCTAATAATCTATACCATTTTAGGATCTATCCTTTTTAAATAGTGCTAATTAAGCATAAATTTTCAAAATTTGTTGTGTTTAAAGGCACTAGAACTAGATATATATACTGTATATATATATAGATTTATGTATCTATGTACAGCGCTTACACTTTCATATATATATAGTATAATACTGTCTAATATGACAAACCAAGATTAGAGAACAGATAAGAACAGATTAATGAAACTAAACAAATAAACAATGATAAATAATACGTTAAGCGTTTCTTTTTTTCTGTACATATACATAGCGTGTGGAGATTAAGTAAATGTTTCGTAAAATAAATTACATCGTACTAAAGAGAGTGTAGACTAATCTACTGTGGTTCGATTTTGCCTATTAGAAAAGGACGTACATGTCGCTTAGGCGACATATTTACGATTATTATATCATTATTTATTCAAACTGTCTTCCATCAATGACCCGGTGTTTGTATCGTTTATCCTGGTTAATTACTCATTTATAATTATGAACATTGTTTAAATAGTCTACTTTAAAATAGCTGATTCTGAAAAATTATTATACAATTTTTCAACCTAGTTATTACAATAAGCTAGTACAATCGTAATTGTTTATATTTAAATATTAGCTAATTATGCATATCATTGTTTTTATTTATTTAGTCTATAATATTAGCTTCTTTTTAGAATTAATAACGGAAATTAAAAGTTATGGAAATAATTGTAAGAGTTAAGAAGAAAAAGAAAGGGGGAAGGGAGGGGGTTTTCTAGAATGATATAATAGATGCTTTCTTTGTTTCGTTCTTTCTCCCTTTAAACAGCCACCCCCGTGCGTTCGTGCGTTTTCTCTGTGTGTCAGCCTTTCGCTTGAGCTTCTCTCCCCGTTTCTCTACCTACCCCCTACCCTCCCCCTACCTCGCCTCTCCCTCTCGCTCTCTATTTTACTTATCTCTTTCAATTTCCTAAACTTCTGACTGATAATCAATCACTTTGGGCGAGTGCTTATCTGACAAAAATTTATCGTATAGGTAGTATTTGTTGCCGAAATAATGATTAGGTAACGTTCGTAGGTAGTATACAATCAGCTCCATCTGTCGTTCATCCATATGAAAAAGCAGGTGGTGATTTTATCAACAAGGGGCCAGGTGATGATTATTTTCAAGTTCATATTGGAATTGAACAAATAAAAAATTGAATACTAGATACTGTTACACTCTTAAATTATTGAATATTCTTTTATTCATATTGATCCCGTTATAAAATTCTATCATACTGCTTTACAAAAAGACTTTAGCGGAAATTAAAAAATAAATCGCCCTTTTTCTCTATAGACGCTTATCTATTCATTCATATTTTTCTCGGAAAATTGTTCTTTAACAAATAATTGCTGACAGTCTTCTTACGAAACCTAAGCAAAACATTTGTTTAATCCTTTGTTCAGTTTAGAATATTATGCAATCTACTTTTCTCTTAACAATGTACTTAGTTAACACCTTTTTTCTTTATAATATGACACCTGTTTTGAATCCTTCTTATTTAAATAACAATATCATTATTAAGGACGCAACTAGACGCTTTTTTAATGAGAGAATTTCTTTTAGTTCTGAGGAAGAAAACTACGTGACAAAAGACTAATAAACTACTTTAAAATATTCTCCGCGGCATTGCAAAATGAGCAAAGACTTGTTAATTAGACAGTTGATAATTAACAACAGTTATTATTTATTAAAAATTTAGTGTTTGTACTTAATTTATTACATAGTCATTAGCTTTTAATAAACCCTCTCTAACTATTTTCTATAAATATGTTAATCTTACTTAAAAGCGTAATAGCATATTATAATATTATACAGACTGTTTCCCTAATTGAAAGCTTTAAAACTGTTATTATAGGTGATAAAAGTTAAATTCTGATTCCATAGATCATAGTTCACGTTTCTCATCTCATTAGTAGAATAGCTTCCTTACGAATAAATACAGAGAGAGAGAGAGAGAGAGAGAGAGAGAAAGAGGCAGGAACACAGGCAGATAGATAGACTATTATATTTTAATAGAAGCGTAAGAATAACCCTTCCAAAGTATCAGGATGTCAGTGAATGTACAAAACGAGCTGAAAGAAAATTAAATACAATACAGATTTCATATTTCTTCAAGTCTAAAATGAGTAATTTATCAATAAGATAGAAGAGTTCTTTTTTATTTTAGCAGAGTTAAAGATTTTTACTAGTAAATCTTAGTTAAAGATTCTTCAAAACAGACAACATTAAAGGCAAGTATAAATAGTATTTGAAAAAAAATATTACTTAGACAGGTAATATAGGTCTAATACTTTGAAATCAAATTTAATCCTTTGTAGCGAAAGCTTTTTATGCGTTTAATGGCTTATATATGCGTTTCATTTGTACTCTTCTCAAAATAAGAAGTTTTGTATTATAAATTACATATAATTTTAAATCCCTCATATTTCTTGATACTTTTTTCTATTATAATTATTAAAAGATGCTAAACTCTCAACTATATTATACGATTGGGTGATTGGGTAGAGAATTAATTCAGTATAACTAAAGGAAATAAGAAGATACCTGCGTGGATAGTTGTTTTATGGGAAATATATTTTCTAGACAATCCAAGTCTGTCAAAACTTTTACTCCATCCCAATGAATGAACAGCTGTAGTGAGTATTTACCAGTACCTAGAAATGGATTTCGGTACTGATATCATCTCAATACAAACAAACTATACGCAATGCATTATCTAAAAAACGCACATCTGTCTAAAAAACCAGCATTGTATACACTACAAACACAGTTAGATATAATTAGATACATTGCAGTTTTTATAATTAAAATGTAATATAGTATATGTGTATTTAAAAAATATACATTAATCATTATCAACTTTACTCTTGGTTATAGGTTTCTATAGGTGTCTATTATCAAAACTTCTGGTTCTCTAACTATATGGTGCCTTATGAAAAAATGTAAGAAACATTATTAAAAGAATCTTATAACTAGCTTTTCATTCTGTATAATAAAGAAGTAAAGTAATTGCATGGAAATATGAGACGTTTTACCGACTTACTTTCTATGTTTGCGGTTTATTAACAATTGAGAATTGTTTCTCATAGAATGACAAACTCATTACTTCTTTATTATTCTAATTATATTTACAAGAATTATATATAAATATAATAATGTAGTTTCATTATTATCTTTTCAAGCCTTGAATAACGAATGAAGATAATAAAAGTTATTAGTTTTTAATGTGGAGAACTTGTAATTTTTTGTTATAAATGGAAGAAAAGCATATATCAATTTAGAAAATGTATAGATTTCAGCTTGAGGCATTTTTTTTACATTAATAGTATTAGAACTTGACACATTGTCATTTATCATAAAGGTAATTTTTTAATTTTTTTTCCTTAGCATAGAAATATAAAGATTTATTGATAATTGATTCATCAAATACATATAACTGTGACAGAGGTAAAGATTTCTTAATATAATACTTTACGGAAAGGGTTTAATGGTATTAATATAGATTAAAAAGGCTAATGGATATTAGCAGCAACACATGACGCAAATCAAGATATTCTCCGCTAACGTAAAGTGCAGATTGTATAGACTTTTCCTTAGAAAAGTCGTCTGATAAAGCTTAAATACATGATTTTTAGGAACATGTGAAAAGTATCGAATAATATCTATCTTTCCTTTAATACATAAGGTATTAAGTTTAAATTAAGGGAATAAGAGAATAAATAATTTTGATAATGATACAACAGATTTGATAATAATATAGTTCATAGATCAATATCTATAGAAAAGATACTCCTGTTTCTAAATGGGTGAGATTTGAATTTCTTATTTTTTCAGTTGTAATTGGATATATATATAAATGTCTATTTATAAACTTTACCAACACAAACAAAAAATTAACACGAATAAAGCAGAGTCGAGATAATTATTTAAAATATGATTAGGTTTTTTATTTCTCCTTCTCATATTTTAACACAAATCTTACTTGGAAATGATTACTTGTTCAATATATAATGTACATTGGGAATTTTAAGTTCTTGACATTTCTTGGTATTCTCTCAAGGTATTTCCTTTGGTACTAGATTCTCAAATGTTTAGAAAGAGTGCATTTAATTTTTCTACTTTGCACTCGGAATTACTCTTATTATTCGTGTGAATTTTTACCGTTTTATTCTCTGGAGTTTTTTTTATCATATAATACAAACAATACAAAGGTATAGAATGCTAATAAACCCAAATACAATAAAAGCAATTGGTAATATAATATAAAATTTTGCTAAAGTTGGGGTAACTGTGAAAGTTGAGCATCTATTCTTTCTATTAATTTGATTTCCTTCTTGTACAATTACTAGTATTATAAAAGAAATAAACTAGTTAAATGACCAGAGTAAAATTGTTCCCTTTTTGTTATCATACTTGTGGGTTCCTATAGCCTGTGAGTAATTATGAATCGTCCAGGTGTTCCACACTGAATTGAGTCTACTTTAAGGTATAAGAAGAATAAGTTTCCTCCGTAATATGTCTTTATTACAATTGTATAAATCATCAATTATCGCATTAAAAATTGAGAAATGATTAACTTAAATCCTGAAATAAATAGATTTGCAATGTGAATAATTATCGGCGTTGTTTAAGTGATTCTTTTTTATCCGCCTATTCCTCTTATAAGGTAAACTTTATGTTTGTTAGTTAGTGTACACTGCTTTCCTTTTCATAAATATTTGTATAAAAGTGTTGCATTAAGGCTTTTCATTAAGAATATATAACAAAGCCTAAAGAAAAATTGGTTTGCACTTCTAAACTTTTCTAATGTTAGATGCAATTTTCTTTAGTTTTTTGCATTAAGTCTTATAAAATATTAAGACAATCTTTTATATTTGTTTATTTGGATTTAAATAAAAAAAAGAGCACTGACAAACAAATCTATCAAATTATATTCTTTATCAAGCACCATCTTGCTCTGTTACAGGATCAATCAATCACATTAACTATTTATAATTATATAGATTTTTAAAGTTCATCGTTCAAAGTTATATTTGTAAATTTTTTAATAAAAATTATAAAATTAATTGAATTATTACTTCTTATTTTTTATCCTAACGTATTGTGCAATTAATGACGAAATATCGGCACCCTGAAGAAAAATTTGAAATCATTAAGTATACATTGTTAACATAATAATAGAAATTATTTTATATTTATACTTGATTTGTTTGTATTCTAGTGATTTTTTGTTGCATCAAGTCACCACATCTTAAATCTAACCAATGCTTTCCTTCAGATACATAATGATGAGCAGCAACAACTTTAGTTAAGCTATAGGTGACAAGAGTTTCCTGTTGGGAAAATTATTAATATAATTGAAGATTTATATATCTTATATCTTGTTGTTTACTTACGTGAGTTTTTGAGTGTAAAAAGTGAACGCCATGTTTATTTATAGCAATTAAACATTCGTTCTGAACTCTTGGATCATTAACACTCTGAAAAATTTAGTAAAAGAAATAATTAATACTTTAATAAGTCTTAATAGTAAAATTCATTCTTTACCTTGGCTGAAAAAAAGGTTGTACCAAAAAGAGACCAATTGGATAATATTTCTATAAGATTTAAGAAAGAAAAATAGATTATTACTTTAGAATATATGGAATATACAGCATTTACACATATTCAAATAAAGTAGATAATAAAAGAAACAATCTTATTTATATCTCACCTAAGAATAGTTTCTTTGATTGCAGAGGATCTAATGAATATTCATCTGCATAAAAATTAATCATCTTTCTCCACCTATCTGGATTCATGTCATCCCAATGCAAAGCATTCATTGGAACAAGATATCTAACTTGATCCGATGAATCGAGAAAAACTTTTTCGGAAGCGAGCAGTTGAAGTGCCGCTAATTTAGCAATATGCTTCCTCGTTTCAGAAGTAATAGGCTCAGAAGTTACTAGAAGTAGACCGTCATCGTAATCTAAAACGCTCTGAGTATACATCACGTCTAAGTAGAGTGGAATAGCTTCCTTCAGCCTTAAGTCAAAAATCCAGGAAGTTCTCTGGAATAAGAGGAAGAAATCTTGGTTTTGCTTTTGGAGTTCGGTTGTGATGTCAAATATATATTCATTTTCTTCTAATGGCGAATAACGTTTGTCTTTTTCAATTACGTAAAAGATTGAAAATTCTTCTCGTTCCACTGGCTCAAAGACATTTAATTGTTCGCACAGCTGCTCAATACAATCTTTAACAACAGTAGTACTTTTAATGCTTAAAGTAACAGGAGCTGTTCCAGGAAGCTTAAAAGTTTGCTTCTTGGCCAGTCTTCCTCTAGTTATGGCTTGAATTTCACTTCTTGATGGCACATTTCTCCTTCCGCCATATGTCGTCGTCTTCCTTAAATTACTCAGGACAATTTGAGCGGTGGGTTCATGTTGATTGCTCTCTAAATAATTGAGTAAGTGAGGTCGAAGTTTATCGGAACAGTCAAAGAAGGCTGCTACAATGGACATTAAACGCCATCCTTGAACTTCACTTCCGGCCCTTGTACTTCGATTTTTATTAGTTTGTTTAGCCAGTTGACAATATACTTCGTTTCGTATATCACGGGTTTTATAACAGTTCTATTAAAGTAAACAACTATAAAAATTTTGTAAATTCTATATTAACTCCTTTCATACCCTTAAAACTGTTATTACACAGTCGATTTCTACCATGTTTTGGTCCAGTGGATAATCTCCCATATATTGCATAATTGCTGAAGGTTTCGCAAAAAATTAAATTAATAATGGCGCATTTTCCAGTATTTTTTCCATCGATTCAGTACATTAAAAAAAAATAAAATTTGTAACTCACCAATGAAACATTCGAGAGCTATTTTATTCATTTCAGGCGATTCATATTTAATAAGTGAAACTTGAATGGGTGACTATATATTTTAGTGAAAAAAAGAATAATATTAGTGATCGTTTTTTCTCATATTATGGAAACAAAGATAGAAAGAAATGTAACACCAAAATAATAACAATAATAATTGTAATAATACAACAATGAAGTTAAATTTTGATTATAAAAAATTTCCTTACCGGTGTCCAACTAACTGCCTCAACCTCATTAAAATCTTTATACCCTAAAAACAAGAAAAAACAATTGTATATACGGTAACCATAGAAAAGGATATCTTTTATGATTAAAGAGATTACATAGATCTAAGAAAAAAAAAAAGAAAGGAAGAGCAAACAGTAAGCAACTGTAATTTACAAAAAAAAGAGGAAAAAAGAATAAAAAGAGGAATATAGTGAACAAGAATGTGAAATTTTAAGAAATGGGGTTAGGATATTAATTTTCTCTCCAACTAAAGGGTTTACAAATTAAATATATTGAACCTTTCTTCTTATCTTCCATCTTCTTCATATTTTTTGCCTTTAATGAATTGAGTAACTTAAAAGAACCATGGATCGACCCAGTCTCATCACCTCTTTTCATCTCGTATCTAGATTAAATAAAGGGTTCGTCATGCAAAAGGAAGGATTTTTTTTTCATAGAAAAAAGAAAATAATAAATTTAAGTAGGGCAAAAAAAAAAAAACAAGGATAGGTAAACTGATTTTCTCTGGAAAATTATCTTTTTCATATATATTTCTAAAAGTATTTAAAAAAAATAGATAAAAAATGATAAATTTACTTCTTAAGGAAATCAGTTAAAAAAATGTGCAAAAGAGATATTTTTATATGTGTAGGTGTGGGTGTTCTATGTCACCGACTTGTTTATTATTTATATTAATACTTTAATATTTTCAAACACTTACATCTGTCTCGCCATCATACATATTTGGAAAGTAACATTTTTGGTTAATTAAAAAAGTAATGATATTAAATTCAGTGTATGACTGACTAGTTTCTTTTTTGACAATTAATAGATAAAGAAAAAAACATCAAAACCCTAGTCAATGCATCTTGTTTTCTTTTTTAAGTATTAAATATAGAGGAGTAAATATATAACATGGACTCACCTATAGCTCTCCTTTCTAAAGTACAAATTAGCAAATTGCATCATTGAATATTTTGGGCTAATGGTATCGTCATATGCAATGTCGCTGTTATTCGTTGGTGACATAGCTCTTTTCAGCTGATAACCGGCAACCGACTTTACGTGGTCGTTTGGAAAAAGTCCAGCCCTTCCATGACAAGATCCATATAACCAGCCTTTATCCAATTGCATATTACGATTTGTCAATTTGATTAGGTCGCCCTTTTCAAATGATAAAAGGGTCGATTCTCTTGTATAATAGTTTTTAATCGCTTTAACCCATACAGAATCTCTCTCAGACTCAATACAAAAAGCGACTATCATATTTGCTAATTTTTCCGCTCTCTTTGTATACACAATTATATACTGATTTTTTACGTGAATTTGAACAGTGAATGGCTTGGGGACGCTAGCATCAATTACTTGATCGAACTCAAATCGATCGATAATTCTTAGCTGGTCCTCAAATATATCTCTTTCCCTTGTTAAGAGGACAATTCCATTCGACCCAACGCCTACTAGCTGAACATCTGGATTAATTCTTGATGGCTTAACAGCAAACATTCGGCAAAAGTAAAACGGCCATTCCCTTGCTTGATCGATTACATAGCGTTTTAATTGAGTTTTGTGTTTGCCGTTGATTGATCTTAGAGTGACGCCGTGTCCTTCCAATTTACTTTTCATTCTCATTTTAACGTCTTTTTCTATTCTAATGCATGAATTAGAATAAACATCACGCACTATTTGGCTAAAAATCATGTCCTCTAGAGTTGGGTCATCTAATGTTTCAACAGGACTAAAAACTTCCTTCCTTACATATAGATTCCATGGTACAGAGACATATGTTAAAAATGGTGCGTTTAGTGGAGGTAAAAGTTTCGTTTTTACGCTTTCCTGTCTTCTTAAATCAGTCGCCTCTTCTGGCTCGCTCAATTCCGAGGGAGTTGGAGAAATAGTAGAAGGCGCTCTGACTGGTTCTAATGTTTCTCTTTTCTCAATTACTCTTTCGACAACGCGAACTGGAGTAGTGGATCTAGGAGCAGGTTCTAGCTTTACCAATTTTTCTACTTCTTTTACAGGGACTGGCTTTGCTTCAACGATTAGGGGAGCGGGTGGGGGAGTTTGTGCGATGGGAGCTGGAATAATTACTCGAGGTTGAGGCTGAGGTGCTTTTTTCGGTGGGGGTTGGGGGTCAACAGGGCTCTTTTGAGCAAACTTTGCGGCTAATATGGCAGATTTCTCTTTCATGTCTGTACCCCTTCCTGATATGTTTCTTTTAACTTGCGATTGTCTTTCTTCCTGTGTCTCATCTATGGTCAAACGGCCTACTCTAATAGTATGCTTTTTCTCTTCTTCTTTGGGGGGAGGCCATTGAATTCTACCGACTTTTACAATGTCACCTCTCACTTTAGAAGTGGAGGGTGAGTGACCATTAACTTGATTAAAGGATTGGCCATTTTGAACTTGTGGTTTAATGGGTGTCGGTTTAATTATTTCCGGTTTTGGTGATGTGGGTGGTGGTGATCTTATTCGAGGTGGAGAGTTAAACACAAGGGGTCCTGACATTATAACGGGTGAAAGTGGGCCAGTTGGGGAAAGTTGCTGTTTAACTATTTCAACTTTGATCTGTTCGTTTTGCAGTTGCTTTTGAAGGATTTGATTCTGCAACATCTGTTCTTGAAGTTGTGCTTGAAGCTCTTGAGCAGTCTAAAACAAAGAAAAAAAAAACAGCACAATATTTAAAAGGTATTCTATAAAAGAATTATTAATTCTATTCAGATCCGGTAGATGGAAGCAAATTACACTATATAAAATACAAATATATTCTTTATTGATTTTTAGGAAGCTTTTTCTAAAATATTCGATTTTAGCAAAATTTAATAGGATAAGGAAACAATTACCATCAAGTGCCACTTCATCGATTTATCATTTATTATGAAATATTCAATAAAATGCTATTTTTTAAAAATATTGCTAATGAACATGTGGCGTTTAGTTTATATGTTTGGAGATATACAGCATACAGCATACAGTACAGTATATAATTAAATGATTGGTTCTATTAATTTCCAAGAATCTTATACAAGATAAGGAAAAATTTTGGACTATCTCTTTTGGATAGGCTTTAAAAAAGTCTAGTACTGTTGTAAAATGGCTAAAGCAATCATTGTCAAATTTTTAAAAAACTTCCTGCTTACCGTTGTATATTTGTCATTCTGAGTCGCATCTTCACCACCACCTCTAATATTTTTCTCGAGCAAACTGATATCATTTAAGTCATCTTGATCAGTACTGATATCTTCAAAAAGATTATCAACCCATCTGTCCATATCGGATGGGGCTCCGCTCCTTTCGTCATCTTCGTCGTCTTTTTTCCTATCTTTTGCATATCGTCTATTAAGTCTAGAAGTAGATGCGAGAATATCCTCTGATGGTGCATCTAGGTCTTTGTGAACGTAACGAATGTTCAAAGCACTGTTCTTTGACAAGAAAGGGTTAGTTTTGTCATGGTGAGAATTGAGAACACTTTTCTTGGACACTAATTCATGAGAAGAGTAAAGTGATTCGCTAGATTGCATGGATGATGTGTATTTAAAATAGCTTGTAGGGTGAGGAGGTGGTCTAGGTGTTGTTGGAACTGGTTCCTTTAATTCAGGAACATTGAGTTCGACAAGCCGAGCAGCTTCGACATTATGAGGAGAGTTTAGAAAGTCATCTCTTTTGGAAGACGATGGATCTTTTGATCTGTCAGTTGTTACTAACCAGTGAGCATGTGTATATGGGAAGAAAGGAACAACTTCCATTTCTCCTATTGCATCTAAAATATAGTCAAAGCCTGACAATTCAAATGAGTCATGGCGCTCAAGCAAAGCTACTGTCCATCCTCTAGACGATTCGTTTGAAACTCCTCTTTGTCTGAGAATACCGTCGGCTAATTCTTCAGCTGTTGTCCAACTGTGAACGTGACCTGTAGCAGTGTAACCGGTAGGTAAAGTCACATTTAATGCCATGTGACATCTTTCTCTTGTAGCTATTTTTTCCAGTAGAGTTGGGGGATAACATCGAGTAGATTCTACATTAAACGAATGGAGGAGTTTGTGTTGACAAAGTACATCTAATCCTTCGGATGCCGTGTCAGAAACGTATTTCAGTAAATACTTTGCCAATGTTGAAGACGGTTGAAAACAACTCAGACAAGCTGCCATAAGCAGCCATCCTCTCTCAGCTACCAAATTTCTCTTTTCCCGCCAAGTTTGATTTGCAATTTGGACAAGGATTTCATCTCTTAGCTGACTATTTGATAAGCCATATTGGACAATATAGTCTGATAGAATTTTTTCTCTGATTCCTTGAAGATTTGAATCATTCATATATCGCAAGACTAAATGGAATATTTGCACGGCGTCATCCTGCAGAGTTTCATCCTTTTGTATAAAGGCTTTCGAAATTGGCCTAGTTTTCGCTCTCCATTTGTAATCCTATAAAAATTATAAAATATAAATCAACGTTATTGTTTATTAATAATTTTAACAAGTTAAAGTAGGAAAAGTCTTTTAAATGAAACTAGAATATGGATGAGAATGTCAAAAAACGAGCAGCTGTTTACGCTAAATCTATATTATCTGTCAAAATTGATCAATTAGGAAATTTTGACTTCATTTCATTCATACTCTTTCTTAAAATCTGTACTAAAAAGGAGGAAAAAAACCCTTAAACTATATATACTGTTTATATATATCTACAGTAATATATAATGTGTATACAAATATTTTAGTCTTGCACAATACGGTGCTTAATCAACATTTTCATATCTCTATCAATACTATCTTTACCATTATAGGAGAAAATCAATAACAGCTATAATACATTTTACAGTGTTCTGTTAAAAAATATGATTTTTAAAAGTTTCTCCTTTTTTCCATTATATGTTCTCTTCTATTTTTATTTAAAGTTAAAGTTATATTCTCTTTGTTTATCTGTCAATCACTAAAAATAAGTTTTAAGAGAAAAAGATAGATTTTCAATTAATTTAAACTTTAAGCCTATATAATTTTCCTGGCTAAACACATTTCTTCCATTTCTCCGACTGTTAATTGTTTAATAATTGCTATTTGTTCACAGTGTCCTAGAATTTTTACTAGAATAAAAAGTTACCATCTTTTAATTGGATATTTTTTGTTATAATTCAATAAAATAGAAAGAAACTTACACATAACTAAGAAAAAAATTAAAATTAAAACGATATTTATCACACATCAAGTGACCTATTTGCATAAATTAATTTAGATTTCCTAATTGGACATGCTGAATGAAAATAATAACCATTATTAGGAAATGATTCTGATCAGAATGCTAAAAAGGTTTTATATTAAACGGCTATGATTAAATCAATAATATAAAAGTTATGAAGGAAGTAGTTAACTAAAGAGCGGAAGATATCATGTAATGAAAATCAAGAAAGTAATCAACTCACATGGAAGTAGACATTGGCATATTTACTGAACGAAAACGAATCGATATCCTCAGGCAACGATAATAAATTTCCATCTTTCCTTAATTCACATTCACCTCGAACGTTTTTAACGTGAACTTTGTCATGCACAACTTTGTAACTTTGCAGATGGCTAAAAATATAAGCTAATTTGGTTGGTATTTCCAATTGAAGGACATCGACTTGTCGTTTCTGAAAATAATCCATAAAAATGGTAATATCGTAATATGTTCAAAATCAAATATTTTAAATATTCGAAGCGTTCAAAAAGTTTGTAAAGGAAGAAAAATTGGGAGTAGAAAATGAGAAAAATAAGCTATTTTTTATTACTGCGGAACGAATGTGTTGAATGAATATTCAGCTGATAACGGTATCGCCATAATCGCTACTAAGCGATAACGATTAGGTATATACAGGTAGAGCGCCGACAAATAGATTGGTATTAATAAATGATAAAGCTAAGGCTATACTTGTATTTATTTATTAATGCTTTCAAATGTAAGTTTTCTCATTGGTGAAGAGTAAAGGACTGAATATATAGGCTAAAGCATAACGTAATAAAGTGGATGATTAAAATGTTGAATCTATCAATAATTTTTGATAAAATTCCTCTTTTAAATTTGTTTACAAAATGATATATCTAACACGTTATTGCGTCTACTTTATTAGCAAACTTACACCTAGTTCAAATGAATAAATAGATAGAGTTTTTATATATTTAACTCATTCAATTAATTTCTTTACAATTATCATTATAGCTAAACAGGAAATTGGTTTGTTCTTTATGATATAATATCTAAAACATGACTAAAATTAAGAATACATCAATAATTTAAAGAAAAAGGCATTATTTACAAAAAGTAATGATTTTTTTAAAAAAAAAAAAGAATGCTGAAATGTTCACAACTTGTTTACAAGCAAACATTCGATTGTGGTTCTTTCTCCATCCGAATAAAACTTTATCGATTGGTATTATGACCATTCTTTAATGTATATGGTTCATTTGATCAATATGAATTAACTACGTACTGAATTATCGAATTTTCGACCAGATTGAACGTTAATCCTACCATCGTAACGATAATACACGAATTCTGCCATCGTGACGCGTTGCAGATTTTTTGCAGTATACATATAAAGAGCGCCTGTGTTATTTTTAATAATCGATCATTATTGATTTGGAGCACGAGTGGCGGTAATTAACAGTTTTTCAAAAATTATAAATTATAGCATTTAAATGAAAAAAGAGAAGGAAAAAAGTGATGAAATTATCTAAACTAAAAAAAAATATCCGTAATAAACTTACGTGACGTTCATTTATCCTTTGCTTTTCTTTTGCTAATTGCATATCTCTCTCTTTCCGACGTTCAGCTTCCTTCTTTCTCCTTTCCTCGGCAGCCTTGTTAAATGAAATATTTATTAAAATATCTATCGATCAATTCGAATAATAAGTTTTAAAAGTTTCATTCTTGAATGTCTAGTTAGTATTTTAAAACGAATTAAAAAATTACCATTCAAATCTAACTATGCGCCATCTAGCGTTTGAATAGTTAGATATAAAAGTACCTTTATAAAACAATATAAAATTAAATTATAAATATATTTACAAGTCGTTCTTTCCTTTCTAATTCTCTTCTCTTTTCCTCTTCCTTTCTCTTTTGCTCTTCTAAGCGTCTCTTTTCTTCTTGTTTCTTCTTCTTCTCTTTTTCTTTCCTTAATTTATCCTCCTCTTTTAACTTAGTAAAAAGCCTCCTAGCTTTTCGTCTACGCCAAAGACACTGAGCAAGTATTGTCGATTTCCTAAGCTTATTAAATCGTTGGCTAGATAAATAAAAATCATCATTATACTATTGAAATTCAAATAAATTCCAGTAACAAACTACCTTTCCAGATGATATCTTGTAAACTTTTGTAAAATTATAATGGCCTTTACTTTCCTAGCATATCTTTTTCTTTCTAAAAATCCTTTAACAATCTTCTGTATGCTAACAATTGCCTTAATTATAATTAGATGTTTGGCCTTTTCTATCACGGATTCAGTTGATTCCTTCATCAGAATTTTATGATGACCTATTTGCCATGTGTTTATTGGGGCGTTCACTTTCTTCATTATAATCTCACTTAGATCTCTGGCTGATTTAGATTTAATATTGTAACCAAGTATCACGTGATATCTTTGAATGAATGTGTCAAAAGGTATTCGAACTGAGAATCCTTCTTTCCTTATTCTGATTGTCTCCAACATTCCCGTATATCTTAGCTGATCTAGGACAACAGAAGTATCGAAGCTCATCGGTATCTTATCGTTATTAGGTTTAACGCATCTAACAAAGAAGGGATGGCACTTGGACATAGCATCTATAAGATTTCCTAAGGAGGTATGAAAACCAGCTGCTATCGTTGGAGTTTTCGGTTTCAATGTACGAAATTTTGCTTTTCCCGAATCAAGCTGCTTTTCTTTCCAATCCGTGATCATAGTGGATATGATACGGCTTCTACTTCTAATTAAAAGTTCTATAACTTCATTGCGCAATATATCTCGGTTTTTGTCAACAAAATAGCGAACGTTATATGTTACTTTTCCAGCGTAGTGAACGATATTAAAACAAGGGCCTGAAACTCTTGGTTTTTCATAATATTTTGAAGTAGCGTGCTGAAAATGGCACTTTTCTAAGAAAAGGTTATCAGAACCCTGAGGAAAGTTGCTCTCATCATCCAATAAATGTATAATGCCGTGTGGTTTCCTCGATATTAAATCAATTATTCCCTGATTATCATTAAATGTTATCATTTTCCAGTCGATTCCCTCTCTAGCATATTCAGCTTGTTCAATTTTAAATATATGTAAATTAAAATAGAAATGAAGTCTTTCGTTAGCATAATTTATGCATAATTGTTCAAAACTGTTATCAGTTAATTCTTCAAACCCAAAAATATCTAACAAAGCTATTGATCCATTACATCTTTTTGAATTGGGTCTTACCATCGAATTAACTTTATCCACTAGCCAGGTAAATAAACCAGAATATAAGGCTTTTGCAATGGCGTCTCTTGTATCCAATGCTTGGTCCATATTAAATGGAGTTATCATTTTTTCTCTTCTAGCAATTGTTACTTTGCTTGTTAGAGCTGAGGTAAGACGTTCTTGAGATAGGGCTAATAGATGAGATATCCATTTAACTTCAGCCATTCTCCTAATTTCGATTTGTTCCTGCCTGTCATCATTTTGGTTTCTTTGAAAAGATATATTTCCTAAGTGAAGTATTGCTGCTAAAATTCGCCATATGGTCGTCTGTTCAGCTTCAGTGAACTTTAAAACCTTAAGGGCAGTGTCTAATTCAACAAAGTCTTTTTTATCATCTTTACTTGCAATTGAACAAGAACCACTCTGAACAGTTTAATAAAATGTTAATTAACACGTCTAAAACAAATGATAGTTTGCCTTACAAACCTGAGTTAAATAAAAATATTGTTCAGCCGTCATTAACCCGTAGTTGTCTTTTTCAGCCCTACTTAATCCAGATAGCATTTCATAAAAAATATGATAATTCCTCTCTCCAGGACTCTGAGTAACAATTCTAGATCTTTCTAAAAGATATTCAGTTGTCTTCGCACCCATAATTGAACAACTGTAAATATTAAAAAACGAAAAAACTTAATATATGCTTGATTAAAAGAGAAGAGAGGGGGGCGGTAGGAGAGGAGAAATTTGAAATATGAAATTTATTTGAAAAACGCTATAAGAAAAAGTATTTTAGAATTTCAAGTATCACTTGAAACATTTTTTTGCAATCTTTATCCTCTACTGATATGAATACATGCAAAGAACGAGAAAAGAAAGTTTCCATTTCTTTTGGTATAAGGGTTTTATAGAAAATAAATTACTAGACAGGAGGGAAAATAGATTATTAATTCTGTCATTATTTTATATGTATATAGTATTATCTAATATGTAAATGTTAGTTATTGATTCATCATTTTTATGAATTTGAGAGCACTTGCGATAAGTCTCAACAGATTTATTGTACCTATACAGTACACATATTTTAATAGAGTGTTGCTTTTCATTGGAATTTTTTATCTTTGTTCCATTGTTTATACATGATAGGACAAACAACTTACTTATAATATGCTAATTCAATATATTTTCCAAATCTAGAGGAATTATCATTCCTAGTTGTTTTGGCATTTCCAAAAGATTCTAAAAGTGGATTTGCTTCTAAGATCTGTTGTGTAACATCCTTTTGCGAATGTCTATCTACTGATGCTAAATATTGCATCAATAGTTTAGCACTCTCCGTCTTTCCAGCGCCAGACTCTCCACTGATAACAACAACTTGCTTGTCATCTTTAAGTAAACGTTCGTAAGCTGCATTTCCGATAGCAAACAAATGACTGAAAGGAATGGTTAATGCTAATTGATTTTGTATGTTATCAATTAAAGACTTACGGTGGTTTATCCGTTAAAGCAGACTTATTATACTCATCCACTTTATCTTTCCCGTAGATATTGAAGAGTTTATACGGGTTAACTGAGACTAGGATACTACCGGTATACGTCTGTTTGCATGAAATGATTCATTAGATAAATATTGAGGGTGTACAATTTATTACAATAGCAACTTACATATATCAGTTCATTTTCATAGCGCTTTCTTAGATTTTTAAGCATATTTTCCTCATCCAGCTGCCTGTATTGATATTATTTTAGCTTTAATTTTTATCCAATAAGTTAGTTCTAACAATCATATTATTCAAGTACAAATAATTCATAAATAATTATACTTCAGCTTAGAATTGATTAGATATATTTATACAATTATTTATTTTAAATATTAAATTTTCAACTATATAAACAAGTTTTTGAATAGAAATAGTAAAATATAACTTTAATTTATGTAGATTCCCATTGTATGATAATAATAAATATGAAAATAATAATAAAATAACTACTATTCGTGTTGTATATTTTTTTACCGGATGCTACATTACTGTACTAACATAGAAAAAGTTCTCTTCATACACCTAACACATTCTTGTGACTAAGGTCCTTTGAATGATGTGAAAGAAAAAGTATGTTTTTAACAATTAATTACTCTTTTAAATATGGTTTTACAATCAATAAATTGATTGATATATACTATTTTACATATATTTCCTGACCTTATTTATAAGTTGTCTTTTCTCTTACAAATATTCAGTTTATTTGCTTGTAGTATACCATATATACTGTGTATATATATATATATATATATATATATATATGCATATTGAACATAAATATAATAGAAACTCTACTTAAAGGCACTTGAACGTTATACTAGTTAATGACCACTATGTTTTTCAACTTTTTTAGCCCTATTTCAATACCAAACTAGATAGGTGAGATGTATATTCCATACTTTTAAAGAAAAATAATCACAACAAGTATAGTTCAAAGGCGGGGCCTGAATAAAAACTGCCTTAAATATATAAGCAAACGAATAAGGACAACATTTTGAATGGGGTGTATTATTAAAGTGATAATCAAGGAGAAATTTTTTCTGCTTGATTTTTAATTATTTATAAAGATATAATAGATATGATATGATGAAAGAAGAACGGTAAAAGCATTATATATATATATATTCTAAAAATTAATCCAAAACTAGACCTTAGAATTTGAAATCATACTACAAATGAAATCGATACATGATTCCATTCTTTACTAGTGAAAATATCACGATTTTCTTGTCATGATAGTTTCAAACTGACAAATAGAGATGGCAATAAAATGTTAAACGTACTGCAAATGTATCATGTCTGGACAACCATTATCATCATCCTTTTCGCCCATGTGGCTGACAGTAAGCTTTTGTCTACCATTCTCTCCATTGGAAAAGATAATTGAAGCCTCTCTTTCTTCATCCATCATTTTTATCCAAGTGTCCTCTATATTTTAATTAGAAGAGACGCCCAATCGATATCCATAGTCAATATATATTTGTATAAAAAAAATCTTTCACTCAATGAAGGATAGGGTGGTGCCCGCCTTATATGCGGTTACTATACTACTTCCTTTAAAGCTATATAGTTTTCTTTTTATTAGTTTAAATTTCTTGTATTTCCTTATCTGTCAAAGTTGCCCAAATCATGAAATATTCAATATGAAAATTGTTGACAGTTATAACAACTTGTTAAGATAAAGAAATCCTGTTGTAAAAGAATAAGACGCAGTCGTAAAATGTTAAACTAAACGTTTTTATGATTTAATGAAGCGGGGAGGAGCCGTGTAAGTGTATTTGCAATACTATTCATAAAAGGCCGGTCTCGATCGTATTGAATTTATTATTGAACAGTTTTTGCTATTTAATCGATACAAAATAGAAAAAGACTTATGTATTCTTCTTCATTCATTTAATTTTATCGTTTATTAATTAACTGTACAATGCACATTTTACCATCTTAGCATATAAATTTTCAATAATAGTCTATCTCTATATTGCGCATAGACATATACCTTTATGGCTACTCTATAGACGATAGATGGCGTCTAGGAATATATTCTGTATTTTTAAGAAAATTTTAAATCGAAAGTTAAATAATAAGTTATTTGTAAAATAATTTAAAATCGTGTCGTAGCTAAGAAATTCACTTTGTTTTCTAGAACTGAATAAAATGTTGACTACTCAGGTAGATAATACACGTAAAAACGTTCAAAATTTAATTAATAATTGATAAATTCCCTTCTAATTAGAGAAGGAAGGATGCTCAACGAAAAGGAACAAAGTCACAAAGTCGAAATGATAAGGTATTTACCATTTATTCACAAATTTTTATGTTCAAAATTCATTCTTACCATAATGGAACTTCTTTTTAAGAAGAGTCCAGAATCTGAAAAGAAAAGAACTTCTCGTACGGTAAATGTTTGTAGTTGAATATTCATAAATTTACATCCTTAATTTCTTGAATAATTTATAGGTAAACAAAGAGAATCGAGAACAGGAATTAGGCGAAAAGGTAAGAAAGATAAACAAGAGATAAGAAAGAATAAACTAGTATATTTTAACATAAAAGTTGAAATTAATTAAATACTTGACAAGATATTGGTTTTCTAGTTTAATTAGTTATATAAAAATATGATATTTCGAACTCGAATTACTTTATCATAAGGAGATCTTGTTTTGAAAGGAAACTACTTACGCACCTTCAACTTCTATTGATGAAGAATCTCATAGGAATCAGGTTAATAAGATATTCAACATTTTTAACTGATTCAAGCGACATATATATGTATTTATACTGTATATACAATCTTCTCTGTTGTAAAGGGAGGAAGAGAGGACGAGACCTTGAGTGACTATTCAACTGCTAGTGTGCGTTGTTGTTTTTTCTTTATTATAGAAACAATACTATGAAAAGTAATGAAATGAAAATTTAATGCTTATTTTCTTTTCTTTTATAGGCGAGACTTGAGGATGAAAGATCAGAAAGATCTCGTTTAAACGTATAGATTTATTGAAAAAAATATATACAATATATTAAAATTAATATTTCTCTTTCTTTCTTTTCAAATGAATAGACGTCAAGGAAATATGAAAGCCATCTTCTTCCTCATGATTCCCAGACTTTTCGTAGTATAATCGATACTCATCGATTTGATTTGATCGATCATTTAGTTTGCAATACAAGCTTTTTGAATAATTTATCACAATTTGGTTTTATTGAAAGAGATGAAATTGTTAATTTTGCGGTAATAAGCCTAATATTTTCTTATATTTTTTTTCTCTATAACAATTAATAGTTTAAATAGCAAAATATTTAAAATATCTTTCTTAATAATGCATTGATATAAATAGATGATATACAAGGTTTTGTGCCAATAATATATTGCTATGTAAACCTATTTACAGAGGTATAGAGATAAAACGGTTCAGAACACGCTGCTTTTAGAAGAATTACAAGCCTCGCATAAAAAGTATGGTGAAGAAAGCTATTCAAATTTTTTAGAATGTTTGCGAAGGAGTGATCAAACTCAACTGGCTGAACGTTTAACAAATGTTGAACAGGAGGTGAAAATTGTTGACGAATGTTAGTTTATATTAAGAAAATATCTCTTCAAAAAGTTATTTACTCCTTATATTATTATAATTTCTCCAGATCAAAAGATTTTGGAAGAACATCTTGATTCCGTTGATAAATATCTTAGCCTTGAGTCAAGGAGGGCGCAAATCGCCGAAAGAATACAACCAGGAGCTAAAGTCAGAGCAACACATCTCGAAACTTCTAGGCATTCGGATCGAAATTCCTTATCAGAATTTTTGCACAAAGTGGGTTATACGACTAAGCTGACCTTGCATCAGTTCGAAAGGTGTCGGGAAGTAATTGATAAATTACACAGAGATTGCGATGAAGTTGCTAAAACTAATGCTGAAATGTTGTACAAGTTAAAAGAATGTGACGAAATTATTTCAAGGTCTCTACCTCCTCATTTAAGGGAAAAGAAAACTGGTAAAGAATTAGCAAGAATTACCCCAAGAACTCCAAGGTCGAAGAGAAATGAGGCCGAACTTTTCATGGCATCTATCAAATACAATATGCGTAAATTAAAGGTTAAAAGACCTTTAAACTGTATTCTAAATGAATTAATGCAACCTATTTTTCAGGAAGACTTGCACAGTCAAGAAGTTGGCCGGATGCAATGCGAAATAATTGCTGGACAGATGGAGAGAGATGTTAAGGATAGAACACAAAATCTTAGTAAATACACTGAACCACCACCAAGGGATGGTAGAACAGTTAAATATCTGTTGAACGTGCCGGAATTTACCGGTACAAAACCGAACGAACTTAAGAAAAGATTAGAGGATCTAGCTATCGCTTTGCATTACTATACATATCACGAAGGACAATTAACTCATCAAATGAATATAACCAAATATAAGAGAATAATATCTCATAGAAACTTTGACAAAGTCGATAAAGATTTAAAAATACTGCAATCTCAATTGAAAAATAATGAAAAGGAGAAAGCAATAGCTACAGCAAGCCATATTGTAGACGTCACAAAGTCGGAAAGAGAAGATTGCTTAAAAATATTAAACAATATTGAAAAGCACGTTGGAAGTCGTAAACAAAAGTTATATGAAGCTATCACAGATTCAAAGCCTATTAGGAGGCGGAAAAAGTCAAAGAACAATCAGCAAGGCACCGACTCTAATTTTTCTAAGAGATTAGCAGAACTTGATACAGAAGTAGGGGAGTATATTGACTTGGAAATGACTCTGGGTCAGCGCTATCGATCCGAATTAGCCCATAAAACGCAAGATTTCAGCGCAAAGATGAGAAAAAAGGAAAAATATATAAGAGACTCCGAGCGCCGTCTGGTGGCTCTTGAAAATGATAAAGATAAATATAAACGGCTGTATACTAATGAGAAATCCTTGAATGTTTTACAAAAGCCAACTTTAGCTCGAAAAAAAGATGATCTTTCGACAGCCCTTATGGCATATGAAGAGCCTCGTAAGGAAACTCCGCCCAAAAGACGACCTAGGAGAAAGAATAAGGTAAAAGAAGATAAAGAAAAGGATGATTTATTGGTTGAAAGAATGACTTTCAAAACGAGACCAAAAATAGCAAGAAGAGTGAGGAAAAGTATTGAAAAGAAAGAAGAAGAGGTCCGCGAAAAAGAGTCAATCGTCATTTCTCTACCATCAATTGATGTAAATTAAGAAAAAGACAATTTTCAAATATGATTAATTTTTTTTACATAAATAATTACAAAAATAATCTAATTTTCTTAAATTACATCAATAAAGGAGGGAAGAAATCGTGAAAATACAATAGATGATTCAAGATCAAACTCTGAAGAGCCAGGAATGAGAAATTATTTTAAGTGAACAATTCAAATTCTCTCTGGATAGAAAAATAAATACAAAATAATAAATGATAATAAAAAGTCATGCTTTATTGATTTATAGTATATACATATGAGAACAACTGCAATACATAACAATAATACAGCAAATACTTGTATATTTTGAAATCTTTATTTAGAATATTATCAGTTTTCCATATCTATATTGTATATATAATAAGAAAATTTCAGTTTTGAATATTTTGTAAGAGAAAGTGGAACAAAATGAATTTTTTTGGCAAATCATTTACGTTTCTACAAATGATACTTTCCATATTTAACTAAGAAAAGTAGTTAACTTGCCCAGAAAAGAACTTTCGCCACTACCTGAGAAACCGCTTCCTTTATCCATAAATTCGTTACTCGACTGTTTACAAGAGAATTATAGTTGTTTTATTTACAACAGAAGTTTACCGAATTAAAAGAATAAAGTAAATTATTTAGTGTTTAAATAATAAATTTAATCAGTCTTATATAAAAATAACAGTTGTTTAAAAAATGATGTAACAATCCTATGAAGGATTTACAATATTTGTAAGAAAAAGCTTACCATAAAGTCTAGGGATGATTTTCCTATTCTATTTATAGCAACTAAAATAATTAAGAAATTTATAACTAAAAAAGTTTTCTTTGACATTTCAACAGCCTTTTTTAATACGAACTGTCGAGTAGGTATATTTTCCTTATCCTTTATAGTTAGGGATACAATAGCTTGTAAGATTATACGGAATGTCGAAATTTATGATAATTTGAACGTTTTATGACCTTTTAACTTACCTTGTTTAAAGGTTATAAGGAGTTAACAATTTTCTAATTGATTTTGTTAAGAAAATAATTTTACTTGATCTTAAGTGAGTAATAAAATCTCTACAGGAAATTTTTCTTAGCATATTTACATACTTCTTCCATTTCTGGCACTAAGATTTAGAATTAAGGGAAAGGAAAATACACCTAATCCTTTACAAGTACTTTTTTTACTATTGTAGTTTCAATGGAACAATATGATAAAATAGTCTATTACAGTAGCAATTTTATGTAACCAACACCTGTCAAAAGATTAATTATTAATTAGTACAATTACTGCTATGCTTTACAAACTATAGGATATAAAAGCGATAACTATTTCATTATATAGATTTTATTGAAAATAGTTTTTTTCTGATAAATGTTATCACTCTAATAGTTCTGAGAGGTCTCAAAGCTAATGATAGAAATGTTTTTAAAACCTGCCATTACTTCCATATGCTGATTTGAGCAGATGAAAATTTAAATAGGATTTGTTATTCTAATTCAACATGTGGTTTAACTATTGATTTAATGTTAATGGTATTTATTAAAAACTAATTTCATTCTCTAATCTGCAGCGTTTCTATCTAAGTTTAAAAAGAGTTGTATAAACATTTGATAAGGGTTTTATTCTATTAAATAATATATTTTGAATTTGAAGAGTATGGCTGGCAAAATTCCCGAATTTCTATATATTATATATGCAAAAATTGTAATTTTTATGAATTATGTATGTGAAATATTGTATAAAACATTTGGAATAGTATGTTTTAGAACATCGTATGAACATGTTGAAAGTTTACTATCCGAAGAATCGAGGAAAATGCTTGACGAGAATGATTATATCAAGAAAAACCTAAAACTACTATTATCAAACACTGAAAAAGCGTACAGTACTCTTGGACGACTTAGTCTAACGAAAGATATAGTGAAAAACGTTAATAGACTTTCAGAATATCGATCAATTATTCAAACGGAATCTGAAATATTTTCGCAAATATCCATTGTTAAACCAGTTTTTATTTTAACTCTACCAAGGACAGGAAGTACGTTTCTACACTGCTTATTATCTGAAGATAAAAGATGGAAAGTTCCTGGAAAGTGGGAGTTAGGTAAACCCTATCCCTATCCATTAGATCCACCTTCGAAGGAAAATGAAGAGACTTTGGCTAGTTTCAAAGAGAGTAACTTTTTGCTAAGTCAATTTTATGGTCCGCAAAATATTGGCATCGCTCATAAACTTCAACCTACTGATAGCGAAGATATTTTAACCTATATGAGAGGAGATGGAATATTTTCTTCTCAATCTTTTGCATTAGATATACCTGAGTATAATGCTTGCGTTGAAAATTTATCCTATAATACTTGGCTTAAGATTTTCGAGAATTTCAAAGATAGATTAAAAATGATAAGTCGATTCCAAAACTTGGAAAATAGAAGATTTTTATTAATGTTTCATATGAGTCCTTTCTGTAATATATCTGCTCTATTGGAGACTTTTCCCGACGCTCAATTCATTATTTTGCACAGAGATCCGATTAAAATAATTCCATCTATTACATCACTTTTTCAGTATACCTCCAGAATACATTTGAAACCGTTTACCGATAATACTCAATATATTTGTGACAAACTTACAGATGTGTACCTTAAGGAAATAGATAAAATGTTCATTTGGAGAGAAGATAAGAGGCTTAAAAAAAATAAAATAATAGATTTACAGTTCAGTGAATTAGTAAAAAATCCAAAAAATGTTGTAAAGCAACTTTATCGATTTTTGCAAATTGAGTATAATCAGGAATGTGATGAAGCTTTCGAAAATTATATAAAATTCCAGAACAACCATAAATACGGAGTTCATAAATATATGAAAATGAATCTAGATAAAGTCAAGATAAGAAGAAGAAGCAAGGAATATATGAGATTGTACAATATCGAACCGAATGTATAATAAATAAATCTATAGTTATATAGACATAAATGTTGATAGATGTAGTCTCTGCACAATTGATCACTGGCAATTAACTAAAATTATCTAGTAACTAACTTTAAAAGACATTAGAAGTGAAGTTTGAACATTGATATATTAACATGGTATATTTTTCAATAATAAATTTCTTACTTGACACTTTTTTATGAAAAAAAAAGGATTATTGTTTAAAAGATATTATTCACATATAATATTTCTTCATATCTATAGCACCGGAGCAGACGCCTTTTATATAAGCTATATATATATATATATATATATATATATATACTTATATATAAAGAGAGAAGAGATAGTTAATGCTAACAAAAAAACGTAATTTCTCCAATAAGACAATATATATATATGAATACAGAGCATGCATGAGATAAAATTGACCGGTGTATTGACAAATCTTACGTATATAAGGAGCTTTTTGTTCTTTCTTTCTTATAGTCATTTGATCTTCTTTAAAAAGTACCGAAATAAAGAAAAAGAGGAAAATATTTTTAAGACGTTCACTACAATCCAACATTAAAATGATATGAAAATAAAACATTTAATAAAAAAAAAGAGAGGAAATCTGTATAAAGAAAAGTCATTAGTAATAATTTTTCATATGTAAAACGTTACATATTTTCAATGTATACAATATACAACAACTCTACTATCATGAATGAACAATGATTTGTCTTCTTTAAAAATTTTATACACATACATATCATTATGAACATATTTTCAATAATTAATAAAAAATACCTACATAAAATGTTACTTTTTTTAAAAATTATTTACTTTGTTTTTCAACCTTTTTTTCTTTTTTACAAAAAAAAAGTTAATGGCTTCTTCTTACAACGAAAAAATGATAAATTAAATCTTTCGCAGTCTGGTTTTTTTTGTTTGTTTGTTTGTTTTTTTTTGATCAACATTCAAATTCTTTTTGAGTGATTGCGTTTAAATCTTTCATCAATCCTTCTAAATTTGCCATTTCGGCTGATAATTCTTCTGTTGATACGGATCTTGTAGTTCGTAATGTTACATCAGGTGGCGCTCTTGGTGAGTTTACTGGAAGTGGGGAACGACATTTCGACGGAGTCGCTTGTCCACTAGATGGCGGTTGAGAGAGGGCTGAAAGAGATTTAAACGTAAATTAATATGTAGAAAAGATTGTTTACAGCAAGGAAAGGCAATAATTCTAATTATCTAGGACGTACACATAAACAAGTAGTAAGGATTTAAGGATAATGTATTTTCCATTCATCATCTTCAGAAATACCTAGAAAAGGCAGTTCTCAAGAGTAAAGGGCAAAGGTTAGCGAAAATTAAAACCAAAAGGCCTAAATTCTCAAACCCTTACTAGCTAGCAGTCACTCTTCCCAAGGAATATCTTACTAGTTAGCATGCAAAAAAATAGTGCAAGGAAATCAAAGAATATCGTGCTTTTAAAAGAGAGCATGCGTGAAAATGAAGGACACCTTAAATGAAAATGATGAAAATAGCCTGGAGAAGATAGTAAACTAAACATAAAACCAATAAGCTGTGCTTACTGAGGGTCGTAAAGGGTAATTTTTTTTAACTAGTCGGGGGTAAAGAGAAAATAGAAATGTTCTCTGCGGGAATCATTTCAAAATTTCTCTTTCTTTTATTATTTTACGGTAAGAAGCAGCATGCCAAAAAACGAAATTGAAAAACAGGTCTACTAAGTTTAGGGTACCCAAAAGTAAAAAATGTACCGATTTGTTTGTGCAAGGTACCAGCCGGCGAACCGTTTTGTAGCGGCGCCGCGAATGACCTTAATGGATGAGATCGATGAGAAGAAGATACAATTTGATCGTATGGAATAGGACCGGAAGTGCTTGATGCTGGACTTAATGCGGCGCCACCCACTATAAAATATACTTTAGTATATAAATAATCATATAAAAAATAAAGGCTGAATAAAAAATAATATGATGAGAACATGAATAAGTAATACAACTAATAATGATTATAAACGAAGAACAGATATCGTTATTAATCAGTATAAATAGTGTAAATGTGATAGAGTATTTGAAGTTGTTTTCTTTTTTGTTATCTGACAAACGGTTATCTCTTTTATCGGCAGGGAGCGCTTAACATTTGTATTTCATAAAAGAAAGAAAAACTGTTTATATAGTACCCTGCCAATGATAAAACGCCGCTGGAAAGATAGATGCTCTTTCCTAGAAAAAAAAAGCAATAGGCAAAATAGATTAGAACTTACGGTTAGGCGATGATAATTCTGGAGGGGCTGTAACCCTTGGAGTGCTTGAATAGAGCGCCGAATTTCTTGTATCTGTGACAATTTGCTTTCTCAAAGGACGCTTTGAATATCTTTCATCATCGGAAGGCGTTTGAGGTCGCTTGTCAACATTTTTTAACTCCATTTGATCATGAATCCATAAATCTGGTGGCTTAAGGCTTGGTAAAGAGTCATTCGATTTCGTACTAGCTGCTTTGTAATGACCCCTACTTTCATCCTGCGCCTTTCTCCTTCGACAAACATATATTGATATGATTATTACAACTATAGCCGTGAAACCAACAACTGAACCAATTATGGAATATAGTACAGCAGGTTTTATATGGGGTTGCGGTTCTTCTTTCGGCTGAGCAATTTTTTTGGGCGCATATCGAAATTTAACTATCTCCGTGGGAGATAGGTCAACAGAATTTCTAGCCCTTACTTCAAAAACATAAGATTGCCCTGGTTCGAGATTTTTTATATCAATAGACATGGAGCTAAGTTTAGGTGTTTGATAAATCCACCGACGATTTGATATATCTTTCGAATATCCAACACGGTAACTAATTATTTTACCGTTTGCTCTTTTTGGAGGCTGCCAAGTCAGTCTAATTACTTTGCCAAAAACACCAACTGTAACATTTTGTGGTGGTGTTGAAGGGGCAGCCTCTCCAGTACGATTTTCGACTACCATACTCCAACCTGATTTTCGTCCTTTAGGATCTGTTACCATAACATCCATTGTGTACAGAGAATATGGTCGTAGACGTCTAATTGTCAGTGACTTTTTTTGTGTCTTATACAGATGTGTTTTTCGGTTTGAGGAAATACATCTAACTGTAAATTCCATACCCTTTTCGAATTTGTCATAGGTCCATTTAAGAGATATAGAGTGGGCACCTAGTACGACAGATTGAACTTGTAATGGAGTTTCTATTTCCTCAGATTTACTATCAACAGTATAATCTGGAACATGACAATCCGCTACAGCGAAAGCACTTTTTCCAAAATTATTCTTAGCTACAATTTGGAACAGATATAGTGTTTTAGGCTCAGGTTTTTTGATAACGTAGCGAGTTGTTCTTCCTGTTAACGACGAGTATTCTTGAGTTGGAACGAATTTCCCATATTCCAATAAATATGATCTAATTCGAATGTTACTGCCTTTCTTAACTCCCCAAGTTACGACAATGTCACCATCTACAAATTCTGCTTTGAAATTAATGGGCTTAGCAGGTATTTGCGATTCATCGAAATCCTTCTCTAAAGTTTTTATATTCTTAGTTGGCGAATAAGGACCGACGCCGTGATTATTTCTTGCGGCTACTTCTACAAAATATAGAGTATTCTTATCTAATTCTGTCAATTCCACTTGAGTGCGGGTAGCAGGCGTACTTAATAGGCGCCATTCTGCTGATGATTTCTTGTATTTAATGCTGTAGCCTGTTATAACACCGTTGATATGCTCTCGCCTTGGTTCTTTCCATTCTATTAATATTTGACTACTTCCTGTAGCCTCAACAATAACGTTACGAGGGGGACCTGTAGGCAAGTACCCGAGAGTTCTAACGGAAATTGTTCCACTGAACTCGCCTTTTTCGCCATCATAATTTACCCCCCTGACTCGAATGTCATACAATTCGAAAGGAAATAGGTTTTTCAGTATTACTTCGTTACCGTCCTCTTCTATCTTTCTTTGTTGCTGTCTTGGTGAACTATAGACTACTTCATAGTAGTCTAACAAGCTACTGCCGGTGGATTCTGGTACTTTCCAAGTGACTTTAATAGTTGTATTTGATTTAGCTTCGGCTATAACATCGAGTGGGGAAGTGGGTTTAATGCTTCGTTTGGTTCTAAAGATTAATTCAGCCGATTCACCTAGACTGCTCGAAGCGTCTCTTTTCTGAATACCAACTTTATAAGTTGCATCCGGCTTAAGATTGTCTAATGAAACCTGAATAAATAAAGATAGACGATATTGATTTATTGCACAGAAAAGAGGCAAGAGAGATCTTTTGCCTTACCTGATTGGTAGTTACTTCTACTGCTCTGGGCCTGTTAGAACCTTGTGCTGTCAAAGTTACAAGATAGCTTTCTTCGTTATTAAAGATCTCCCTTAACCATTTCAATTTGACGCTTGTATCAGCGACTGTGATTATCTCTAATAGCTTTGGTTTCTTGTTAGATCTACCAGTCTCTGATCTTTTGTATACTGTAGTAGAAACAGAAAGGCGCATAGCTTTCTGTCGGCTGCCGACAAAATTTTCAGCAAAACATTGATAAATTCCTTCGTCTGATTTCATAACACCGATAATCTTTAGATCTCCTGTTTTCTCTATCTTAAAATAGTCGCTCTTTTGAATTAGTTCGCCATTTTTGTACCAAGAGACTTTTGGAGTAGGCATCCCGTCGACACGGCATGTTATAGTAGCTGTGCTCGCCTTTTGAACTTCAATATCCTGTGGAGATTCTTTGAAAAATGGAGGTGAATTAACAAACAATTCTGCAGATTCATCTTTTGTATCTGTTGCTGTGGACGCTCTACATGTATACCATCCCCGATCAGCGTAGCTTACATTGTTGATGGTTAAACAATTAGTATCTTTGTTAGAACTGATAACAGCGCCATCTTTGAGCCATTGGATGGTAGGCGATTTTAAGGCATTCGCTGAGCAATGGAATACGACTGTTTCGCCAACTATCACAGTTTTATCTGATGGTATTGAATTAAAAATAGGTGATTCGTTGTTAATAGCAACTTCGATTGATACGGGTATACTGTTAGATTTTCTATTGTGAGAAGTACAGTAGTAGAGTCCTTCTTGAGGATTATCGGCATTTATTATCTCCAGGGAGCCATCGGCGAGAAGATTATAATGCAATGATTTCTTTATTAGTTTATCATCGAAAAACCATTTAATATCGATATCTTTCCTTTGTGAGCCCGATACACATTGCAAAACAACTGATCCACCACTAGGCAAGGTGGAACTTAGTCGTTTCACATAAACCTTCTTTATCTCTTCTACTTTTAAGGAAGCTTTCCTACTGACGATAATACCTGATTTATCTTCTGCAACGCACTGATAACGATAGTTCGAATGCTTAACGTTTCGAATTTTTAAGATTCCGTTTGGTTTAATTATTCGATTCTGATCACTAATGATAGGCTGGTTATTAACCCGCCAACTTATTTTTCCCAAAGTTGATGAACATTTGAAGTGGACATTACTACCACGGGTTGAAATAATATCTTCAGGTTCTTTTGTAAACGTCAGATGGCGTTGCGTATCTACAAAAGAAAGAAAGAGGCTATTAGAAAAAGGTACATGCATAATGTATGTATAAAGGATAGATGAGTCATATAATCCAATCTTGTGCGAATCGTTTCAAGACAGCGAAAACAAACACTTTAAAGTCTAAACAAACTGGAATCGTATACGACTACAAACCAAAAAGATGTTTTTTCGGCTGTTTGTTATGGAATTACCAGTTTATATAACCTCTCTATGAGAATTTACATCCGCTATTGTATCGTGAAAGAGACATGTTAAGGATAATGCAAAAAAAAGGACATTTATAATAGGAATATTTGCTAGTAGGCCTACTTGTAAATACCCCCAAGACATAAATGACAAATGAGTAAATTATTTCTCTGTATACAAGATAGTTAAAAGTATACAATAATCTTTTATATATATATATATATATTACAATCTTTGCCCAAGTTTAGTATATATAGCTTTTCTTTTGAGATTGGATTATGGTTTATATGATATCCTTTAATAAATGATTTCGATATACTAATTGAAACTGTACTTCAAGTCAAAACTAAAGTCCAGACTTACAAAGTTCACGTCAAGAGTAAAATACTATGCCGGTTATGTTCGGAATTAGTTTTTTTTGTATAGCTCATACCAACTAACTCTCTCTAGACACTGGCGTAAAAGATATACATACGCTCAGACACATACACACACAAGCACACGCAACTACTCTTACTTCCTAGTCTTCCTTCTCTCAATCTAGCTCTTCTCTTTTAACCACTTTTTCACATCTTTTAACCTCCTTTCTCAATTTGCTATCACTTTTACTTCTATCTTACACTGTTTTATTTATCATATTGAGTTTAACTAATGTAATTTTATAGTGATACAGAGTAAGACTACGATGAAACGTAATAAATTGTATTATTACTTAATTAGTAATACGAATATAATGGAATAAAATATTCAAGCTAACGGTTCGCTTGTAACATTAAATAATAAACTATTCGATCTTATTTCTAGTTTCCATTAGTCGCCATCTTTTAGAAATATTACTGTCTTACAAAAATTAATGGATATAGATACGAACAATGTTTCATGACTCGACAAATAGGAAAGGATTTGCAAGAAGAGGAAAAGGAAAATCTAAATGTATTATTATGTAATATAGTAGGATAATATCAGCACGCAACGCTCGAATATTATTAATGATTTCTATCACAAAGATTGTACAAGGAAAAGAAAGTGACTTAGGTTCTCTTTATTATGTTTAAGGATGATATTCGTAAGAGAAAATCTTGTGGTTTATCATATGAATAGAAAGTCGTCTCAAAGAAAGGTAAAGAGTTTCTTAAGTAAGGGAGGGGAAAAGTAAAGATTATTATATTATCTAAGATATCTGCTTCTTTGACATTCTGGATTAGTGTCATTTTATGAAACAGATATTCTTTTTACTGTTGAAAAAGTATATCCTGCGGGTATTTTAGCACTAAAACAAGAAAATCCAATATGTTATGTGTGAAAAAGTCGTTAGCATTTTATATTGCTGAGTGCTTTTTATCGTTATTTTACCTATTTTTTTCATTCTTTACACAGTTTCCGATTTATTCATGTAAAAACTATGTTTCCATTATGCCCTATTCATTCCTTTGTAAAACTATTCCCATCAATCTCGCGAAGGGCCATCAAACTTCTCTTCCGTTTCTAATATTTTTCTTTCGCATCGTGTAACGATGGAGAAAGGACAGAATATTTAGTAAGAACAATTTATAAAGCTATTCATCAAATGCACGTTTTCCATTAAAGGAGGTCGTAGCTCTATAATCGACTAAAATTCAAAGCTCCATCAAGTACATTTATCTCTTTCCAGTTAGTTTGCTATATTAATCTTGTTGTCCGTTCCGTACTAACCCCTCCTTTCTTACTAACACGATCAACTTTGAAGTCAAATGATTAACAATTTCTCTTAACTTTTACAAACAACTCCTTACAAGTATATTTTTATATTAGGCCTATATTATAAATTAGCTGCAGAGGCTATTTATAACGGACTGGATTTATTAGCTGAAGACTATCTTACAACGTTAATTGAGATGTCATCACGTATGTACTGCGTAGATCGAATGACTTGCGCATGCGCAGCGTTAAGAAAAGGGTACCATCTAAGCATTTTGAATAAGAAAACACTCCGGTCTAAGACGCAAGATTAAGGTTCTGCGTCTTGTAGGACCAACCGAAAACTCGATTTATCTACTAAAGATAAAAGCAGATATATCAGGGCCTAGGAAGCCCCCCTAGAAGACTACTAGAATCTATACAAGTGCCTATCTAATCTTTTAGCTAGAAAATAGAAAGCAGATGCGTTCGAAAACTTCCCTTCGAACCGTGATTAAACGATCGGCAAGAGGGAAAAATAAGAGAACAGATGCGTAGCTCGATTCGTTTCGGTCGCCCGACGCCTTAACGAACTTTCGGAAAGCAATTAAGGCGAACTGGGACGCCGCTAGCCGGTAAGAGACGCTATGGAAGCGGCGTTTCGTGACGCTTAATGCGCTCTTGCTCGAAAACGTCGCTAAGAATTCGTTGCACGTGCCGTGATTAGGGATGAAGTTTTCGAGCGTCACTATGCCACCGGCCGTAATTTTGCGCTGTAGTCAGTTTACTTGACGGCCAACTTTTCGTTATACAAATCCATGCCGTATTATTAATCATAGAATTTTGTTTAACTGAAATTCTAGTAGCATTACTCATTGTGCAAATAATAATCAGAATAATATAAAATCTTCTTTGAGTAAGAAGAAAAATATGGGTTAGAAGGATCTAAAAAAAATTATAAACCTAAAAAAAACAGCAAAAAAGGAATCCATAAAATCAAACAGCAGTGTTTTTCTCCAAAGATAGACGCACGCATGAAACAACTGCAAATCGTTTTAACACAAGTTTTTCCAGTGATATCGATTCCATAAAAATGTTTAATTGAAGTTTACAACAGAAGTAAATAAAACTGCTATTATATAACGGAAGATGAGAAGGAGTTTTTAACAAACTTACAAATTTCACTCATAACGGTTAATGTACTAAAACAGTAATGCATATATTGCTAGATCAGTCGGTATTAGAGTTATATTAAGCATAAAGCCTTCCTTTTTTCGCACGTCTAATTCCTCATAAATTGTGTGCTCGCATTTATGTGGCTTAAGAGTAAAATATTATAACAGTTTTTCGCTTCCGGCTGAAGGATTTCAACAAAAAACTATATAAAATAAAGTTGGTAATCAATTTTTGTAATTCTTGGCATTTTATCTCAATAGATTTGTTTGCTTTTAATTAAAAAAATGGCATATATATCACTATTAAAAAAAATGTTTCCCAATGTAACAAATTATACTCCCCATTCTCGTCAGTTCTTATCATCATCACCCAGTTTTAAGAGCGTCACTTTAAAAAGAAAAAAACCTCTTTCCGTAATCTAATCCCAGTAGCGAATTATTCTAATACTACAGTAACTTTGGTCATCAAAAATTCATTGACAAAACTAAATTATTTTTATCGTCCCCCATACTCAAAAATCATGCTTTTTATCATTATTTTACAGGGGAAAATCTATAAATAAATAATGTTTTTATATTATTGTTTATATATTCAATTCCTACGAAGTTATTCGGATATTTTGTTATTAGCTTACAAAGTTCTATTATTCTCCTTATTGTTTGTAATAAAATATAAATATTACTCCATCTTGAATTACTATAAATAGGAGATTGAAAGATATTTTTTTACATAGTTATTGCATTCCTAAATATTTTGTTATAGGAGAGGAATAGCAAATAATTTTTACCAACAAAACAAACGTTTAAGTAAACTGTGATTTATTTCGATTCTGTTTTTCTTTTTGTTTACTCAAACTCCCATCAACAAAATGCAACAATTTGTAAATAAAATAGAAAAAAAATTGGTAACAAACGGTAAATTACTCACGCATTTTCTATTTAGTTCATTATTATCTTTATCGAATAGTATTGACTGATTAGGAACTTTTGAATAGAGTTTCAAGCATCCTACTACTCTTTCTTTTTTTTTTATTCAATGATACGTAAGAGTTTTTTTTTGCTCTCGCTTCTTTGTTTGACTAACGAATTATTAGGAGAGTTTCATGCTATAAATAATTTGCATCAATTTGCCAGACTAAGGGGTATAATAGAATGGAATAAAGAGAAGAATTTCTAAATTCGTCCTTCGTCTATCTGCACGATAATTTCGTCAATTAATCACTCCCTCCTACATGAAATAAGGTTTTTAGTGTTCTCATTTGGTGTTATTATGTAGGCAATTAGTTGTTCCCTAGTCCTTGTAAAGACAAGGCCATAGAGGTTAGACGAGAAGAAAAAAATTGGCGAAGAAACAATTTGCATGATGGATTGCGTAGATAAAAGAAACAATTTAATTTAACACTGACAAAACATGACAACTATTGGCGACGCTTTGGAAAAGTATGCCTACAGGAGTTACCCAGTATTTGTAGTATGATAATTGAATAAAATTTCGTTTCAATCAATACTTCCCTTTTTGCAGTATCCCTTCTATTTTAAAATATATCTAATTAAACCGTCAATATTAAGGTAATTGTACTGACTAGTTAAGGAGTTGCTTAATGGATATGGTATACAAGTTAACTATTAGAAACTCTGTTTACAAAGACGTCGTTATGGTCAAGTTATTTACAGTAAAGGTATTCGTAGGTATTTTTTTTTCCACTTTTGTAATTTAAAACCATATTATACACCAAAATCTATACGAAAAGGCCAAATGGTATCGCTCGCTGACCCCTTCTAGTTTCACATAACTAATCATACGCTCGTAGGGTAAGAATATAACCTATTATACACTAACCAACTGATATTTAAAAATCTCTCAAATTTCCCCATCAAAACTACTAACTTCCTCAGTGGGAAACATCACAGAAATTTGGCGTTAAAAACAGTTCTTAGGATACAGATGTCAAACGCGAAAGTCAGCGAGTATCCGT